GTCTCGCTTCACTCCAGATTATAATCCGTTTTTGCATTGACGTACAATATATGGAGTCCTTCGCGGACAAAATGGGGAGAGAACGAGAACAGTCACGATTGCGTCTACCCCTGTCTTCGCAGATCAAATTCCCAGTAAGTTGTTGACAGTTGGTTGACAGCAACGTAGACATACACTTGTGCAAAATACTTCACTGCACCGTCATGTTGCGTAGACAGGCGTAGAACCGATCGTGACTGTTCTCATTCTTTCACCGTAGTGTCAGACCACTGATCCATATACTTACTAACTGGATTAAGAAACTCAGACCTAGTCATTATCTGCGATGTTCAGCCTGGCGTGTCAAATTGGACAATGAATGATGTTTTTTGAACTTCTTGAATGAGTAAAGTCAACTTTAACGAGGCCATCGAGAGTGGACGGTTTTTCTGCATTTTTTAAGCTATGAACGAAACCGATTCATTTAATACAGAGATGTGCATTTTTTAATATTTCACTTCGCTTGGGTCGCTTGAATTTTTCCGTCAACCGTTTCGGTGGCACCGCATAGATGATATCCCACAAAATGCCGTTGAAAGCCGTTTGAAGCAACCAAATCCCTCTGGTCATGGGCACATACCCTAGTAGCCCAAAATATCTTTTAGCGCATGTGTAAACACGTAAACATTTCGAAAGAATAATTAATTTGGCGCTGGTGTTTAAAATTCTTTCGACTTAAGCCAGTTTAATATCAAATTTCTGATTGGATTCATTATTTTCTATTTAGAAATAGAAGGGTGTAATGTACTTCACGCTCACGTAGAAAGTTAGGAAAGTATTATACGTTGTAATGTACGCGATGAAAACCACGTATTATATATTACATGACGTATTATACCTACCCAACCCTGGTAGCAGCTATCCAGTTAGTACATAGACCAGGGTGTCAGAATATGACATAGACCAGTCAGAACCATATTCAAGCATTGGAAATGAGTCGTCCATATATTGTAAGGCCAAGAGTTTTTGCCAGCTCGAAATTTTCTAACAATAAGCATTTCCAAAATATGGGAAATTCCTTCCTGATTGTTCTTTCTATTAACAATTTTGTTATTTTATGTCAGCTGATTAGAGGTCCTTGGGAAGATTGCATTGTCTTTCGCGTGCGTTTCTGCACCAAAACAAAAGTCAAAGCAGAAGTCTAACTTTCTCGGTTTGTAAATAAACGTTGCTGCAATGGTTTTCGGTAAATTATAAACACAGCGCTGAAAAGTGACGAATGTCCGTCTATTGTCATCGGACACGAGTTGTGTTATGTGACGAACGTTTTCCTGGTCTTATGCACTTCCCACGTGTTTGGCAAAATGTCACGCCGAGATGAAAGACGACGTTTGTTTTATCGCATTTTCCGCGTAGCTTCGGTTTTCGGCGTTCTTTGTGCTTCATTCGCGTTTCTACCTATTTCCGTTTTGCTGGTCGGCAGCGAATCATTTAAAATGACTCTTTATATCACAGATTAGAGAAACAGCTAAGGATTGATTTAGAGAGCAATATTGTCACAATGTAGTTGCATTGTGATCTTTATTTCCGCCGCTTTTTCAATTATTTCCCTGGGCTGGCAACGGTTCATAACCTATAAAATCGTTAATGCTTCCTCGTGAGCAGAATGTCACATTAAAGGCGACAATGTACGAAGTGTGAATAAAAGCGGTGAATTTGCCGTTGCAAACCGATCAGTCTTAACCAGGGTTGACTAAGTATAATACGTCATGTGACATACATGGTTTTCTACGTGTATATTACAATGTATAATACGTCCCTAGTTTTCTACGCAATTGCAAGGTACATTACGCCCTTCTCTTTTTGAATAGAAAATAACAAATCCAATTAGAAATTTGATATTAAACAGGGTTAAGTCGAAAGAATATGAAAACAAACGCGAAAATAATTATTTCTTAACAATTTTTACGTGTTTATATGCGCCCCAAAAGACGTTAACCTCACTAATAAATATATCGTGCATCTGCGACATCCGCCATATTGGAAACGTAAAATTGAAAACAATTTTAAACGTAAGCGCCAAATCAATTTATTATTCTATAAAAGTATTACGTGTTTACGTGTGTGCTAAAAGACATTTATACTTTAGCGGATGACGTATATTGCACATCTGCGGTATCCTTCATATTAGAAACGTAATTTACTGCTTTTCTACGTTAAAAGACGTTCATAACCTAGCAAAAGCCATGTGTCGTCCGTGTGCGGCATTCTTCATATTGGAAACGTAATTTACTGGTTTTCTGCGATTTTCTCCGGTAAACTCTTTGTTACTTAATATACGTGAGAAAGCTAGAAAAATGGGGAATTACCCAACCCTGGGCTTAGCTTAGCAGGAAAATCTAGCTAGCGTTGAGAGTCAGAAGTTCGCCAATACGTCTTAGTCGCAACGAATTCGCTAAATCTTCGAAGACTGGTCTTTCGCGAATGACGTGCAACTTTGGACGTCGCTCGTATGTATCCTTCGAGGAATCTGGATCGCGAGAAGCTAAAATTAATCTTCGCCGATCGTTTTACGGCATTGGTCGAAGCAATGCGCCTTGCAGGTCGAAGACCTTCCGAATCTCCAGAGTTTTCCTTTGCCTTCAGCCATTTGTGGAGCGCGCGGTTTATAAGCGGGTAAATCCCTGCATCTTTTTCCTTCGACCCTAGTAGCATAAAATATTTCTCCTATATTTTCTATACATTTAACGAATATCCTACATTTTGTAAATATTTACCAGACATTTGAAATATTTGCCAAACGTTTACTTTAGAATATTATCCCTATAATATTTATATAAAAGTAGCTCCATGTGTTTACATAATGTTTTTCTACCAGATATACAAAACATTTCGTTTCATTTTAATACAAGTATTTTTTAAATATTATCTGCCGAATACATTATAAACGTTTTAAAAATATTTAAAATCTAAATCACACGTTTTGCTCCCGTAATGAAATAGCGGAACGAAAATATTAGAAAAATTTCTTGTGTTTCTTGATACCAAATGAAGTGTCCGATAATAGTCGTGAAGTAAAAAAAATGTATTTTTATTATATGTTTATAAATTATTGAAACTAAATATGTCATTGAGATTTTCAACGAATATTTCAGATATCTTCGAATGAAATCTACAAGAAATCTTAAAAAATCTGTCGCTTGAGATATTTAGCAAAGATTATAAACAAATATTTAGAAATTATTCTATGCTACTAGGGGAGATGTTATTCTTTGGAAATGAATAACATCTAAAAGGGTTTCCTCCATTCCTTTATTCTGTGTTCTTTGCAAGTAATACCATAATTAAGGAGCTATACCACTGTGCACGTTGACAAAATGACCCATTTTTTACCATTTTTTTTCTCAAAAAGTATTGTATGTAATGACACGAACTATTTTTTCCATGAAAGGTCTAATGTAATAGAATGCAGGACAATTCTTCTTTTCAGTAAAAAATATATATTTATTTTTTTATTATTACAAACGTAAAGTAGTTAAAAACAAATTGTTTTCACCTGGAGCAGGTGATTTCTCAAAAACGGCTGAACCGATCAGGTTCAAATTTTAGCATTATATTCAGTAAACACATAGCTATCGCCCGTAGCTCAATTATGGTAAGATATTAATTTTAACTCATACTTTTGCGTCAAAAATGTGGAATTTTTTCGACGTTCACAATGGTACTACTTAAAGAGTTTCTAAGAATGTTTGAAATTTTAAGGAGGTCGTTTTAAAAAGTATTCCTGAACGCTATGTAAAGAAAATTGTCCGTTCGGTGTGTAACGGATGCTACGTTTGTTCGCGAAAAAAAAATTATTCTTTCGATCGTTTTTATAAGTTTTCTTACGCCGAAGGATTATATCGGGGGAATAACTTTTAATTTTAACAAATGTCCGAAATGAAACCCTTTGAACTTCGGTTCAAAGGATCAACGTTGGCGCAAACTTTCGAGTTTACGAAACCATAAACTTCAGAATTAATGTCTTATAAAATTGAAAGCTGATGCCAGCAACGGTTGGCCTTGCGGTGCAAGATTTTCCCATAATATCCGAAAGCATATATATCGTGCTACTTGTACATATATAAACACTTATGCGAAATTAAATTCAAAATATAAATTAAACTAGGACAAACGTTTTATATCTTTATTCGTCACATTTCTCTCATTAAACCCATGCTAATTCCATTGCTCCAAAAAAGGAAAATCTCGATTCACAATTCCTCTCATTAAGGTGATATGAGTCAGCCTATATATATTTAAGAAATGAAATTGTTGGGAAAAGTATTCTCCGAATTGGGGGTACCGATTCGTTTCAAATTTTACCACGTAAATACGGAGGCCGTAAAGTAGGTCCTGAAACTCATGAAATTTCATTTTTGGTCCAAAATTTATTTACTTATGGACTAGAGCCAACATGGCGTGGTCCGTGTACGTTTTCGATGTTTCACGCTTCTTGGAGGCTTAGAATTGAAAATGTAGAGTTTCAGGACCTTAATCATACCCTCCATATTTATATTGTAAAATTTTAATGCATTCCGTGTACTCAGTTTGGAGAAAAGTTTCATGAACGGGAACTCATTGACTCCACTTTCACATCACCTTAAAAACCCTGAGACAGAAAGTTCAACAAATCAACAGGCGAGCTCAGAAATGACGAACCCTACGTGAAATTGAATTTAGGAAGGAAGGAAAAAGCATTGGAAGATTATTCGTATGGAGATAGGAAACGATGAATTTCCACAAGTGGGAGAGATCGGTCAAACGTAAATCTCGTCAATCTTATCCAAGTCGAGTAAAAATTCATTGAAAGAGTATCCGTAGGTTCATTGGAGAGCTCCTCGGTACGTCACCGAGTCGAGTCCATACTACGTTTCCCGCAAGTATTGGAGAAGTAAGAAGGGTAGCTATTTCTGGTCGAGGGGAGTGAGACTCACCACGCAAACGGCTCTTAGCCACTTCGTACATCTAGTAGTCTGGCGTTCGCCGCGTATCGTAATACACTTTTCGAACCACATGTAAGCCGATGGGAGCGTGCATTATCTCTTACGATAGAGCACCTTTCCCGAAAATATTCGACATCTGAATTCGACTCCTCGAAATTCGACGAATTTCTCAAGGCTGGACGGTCGAATTTCGACACTTTCGGCGGGAGGTGGAGGAGCTCAACGAACGTGGAATTTTTTCTTTTGAGGAAAATAAGATATTCCGAATCGATATTTTAATCTCAACGACGGGGGTGCGATGAAATCGTCATCGACCACATCGACGCAGAGATGTCTCAGCACGCAAAAGAGGATTTGTTTATAAAACGTTGGAGGAATCATCTACCAGTGGGGTGCCAATGATGTTGAAAGTTTGGCTATCGAGAAGGGAAAAGTTTCTTTCGAGAGGAACTGAGAACTTGCACAGTTCGAGGAATAATTGAATGACCCGGGAGAACGAAATGGTGTACGGAGTCAGTGAGTGAAATGCGGGTAAAATGATTTAATTCAGTTGAAACGGATGAAATTAAATGGATGAACAATTGATTTGCAGTACACGGTTCCATTGCGACTGGTGGGATTTTCTTACCTATACAGAAGAAGTAAACAGATTAATATAAACAACGGTGAAGTCATTTTATTCTCGAGGATTTATTTTGATCGTTAAGGAGTATCAATAATTATCAAGTATTAATAAGAGGGAAAATTACCATGTTTCTTTATGTGGAACATTGAATTTCCTTGACTAATAGAGAGTGGAAGACAATTTAGTCAATGTAATGGTTGCTATAATTTTCCTACGGTTCCCACGGTTCTCCTGAAATATCTCTCGATGACCCAAAGACACTGGAAAAGATGGCTGATAGCAACAGTTGATAAGAAGTTTCGAACAATGAACATCCTTGTTGGCTGAAGAATTTCTCAAGAATTGATTCCTCACGATCAAAAAGAAGTTCAAGCTACAATTGTTAAGCAGAACGTTCACATAGACCTGAATCGTTATTTATATAACCATTTCTTTTGGCTAATGCAAATTAAAAAACGTACCAAATTATGTTTCATGATCTCGAAGGTTTTGTTCGAGGTTCCTTTGTACCGAAAACGGACCGCTAGAAACCTGGAATATTATATCAAAATTGAATAAGTTGTCTGGCAATTTTTAAAAGGTAATTATCAGCATAGATTGCTGGAAACTATAAGTTTGTCAATTTTTTCCTATGGGACTGAATAATATTTTTCGATTGAGATGAAACGGCAACGATGAAGATTCGTTCCCGGTCAAGTTTCGAGAAAGATCTGAAAGTGACACGTGGAATGCAAGAGATGTTCTGCAAGAGAGGCCGGCACTTCTGAGCCGGGCCTCGAGAACGTCTTCGGCGCAGAAGAAGAATAAAAAGAAGATTTTTCCGCACGTGTCACCGGTTCGCGAATTGGCCGACTACCAGCGGCCACGGAAACTCTTCCAGCGGCATTTGCAAGCTGGTCGGGGAAAACAAAAATAACTGCCCGTCTCTGAAGCAATTTATCTGAAATTTTACGCAGCTTCTGCGCTCCTCGAGGAGCAATCCGCAGCCCCGGGTGTCCGAAGCTTCATCTTCCTCGGCAGGACAAGGTGTAGATCAGCGCCGAAATACCCCAGTTTCCACGAAACACGTCCCACGCATTATTTTTCAAATAGCCGATTCTCTTGGGGTGCGATCGCGACGAGCACCATCGGGGGTGAAATGGATCAGAAAGACATGGCTACTCTAGGAGCACAGGATCTGTGCGAGTAGAATTAGCTCGCGCCAGAATTATCAAAGAAATAAGCGATTGAATCCTTTTTGAAGTTGGAGGTTCTTGGAATAACAATTTTTAGAAGATATGAGCCTGAACCACGTTGGTTGCAAGGCAGGATCAACTGGATTTGAGTGACAGACCATTATCTGTTAACTTGATAAGAAGTCATCCCTCAAGGAACGGATTTGAGGGATCTAGAAAGAAACGAGGTGAATGATTCCGATGAAAATGAGTCCAGATGGACACAACATTGACATCATATGGCGGGCGTTCGTGACGTTTCGTAGATGTGCCTGATGTCCAGTAGACCCTGAAGAGCTAAATTAAGACCATGTCCTTCTGCAGGATCACGGGGAGGAGCAGGGGTCTTCCCAAGCCCAACTATTTCCCGCTTCTGCCGCCGATCAGTCCTGCTGATGCTAAGCGGTTCTGCCGCATCACTGGGAAGTCCTATGGACTACCTACGCATCACTACATCCCTGTTCTTCTGGGAGTGCATACCCACGATAAATCAAAATGCAAGATCACCAACGCTGCAGCTGGATTAAATCCTCATCATTACACGGCTGGACTGATTTTGGGGGAAAAGAAAAAACATGTAGTATTGAAGGACTATCGCTACGTGTTCCCCATATTAGAGGGCGATGGAGAACAACAAAAGGCACTTAGGGATCTTCTTGACACGAAACAACCATCCATTGAAGAGGAGAACTCTAAGTTCGTCTACACGGTAGAGGAGAGAAGATGCAGTTTGGTGTTTCCAGCCAAACTGGAAGCTGCAGTCAGAGATGGGGATGTTCGGGACGTGATGCTGTCGCGAGATTGCGACACCGTTCTTTTGCGCTTGAAGCAGGGAAAAAACGTCTCGGTTGACTTTAGGGACTTGGACAATTTTGATGACCTGTACGACGGCTTGGGTCCTCGTGAAGATGTGCTCAAAGAGCGCGAGAGGCTGGAGACTGAAGCCAAGAAACGGAAGAGGAAGCGGCAGGCGGGCTTGAATTATGCTAAGAAAATCTTCGAAGAGAAGGAACGGGCCGCTGATGAAGAAGAGTCCAGAAGATCCAAGCAACTGAAGCTTCGCAGTATCAAAGAGGAGAACAGAGATGAACGAAAACTGGTCTGGAAACGAGTCGATCTGGAGGGAGCCAGGTCTAGGGCAGCCAATATAGTGATGTCTTCGGAGGACTGGAATGATCTTGCCAAGCCGCTTACTGAGACATTCAATTGGAACGATATCGAATGCGGTGCTGTTAGAACTGAAGGAGAACCGCTAGTTGATAAAATGCCGGAACCGGTGAATATTTCTCCAAGAATTATTGAACTAGAGACGACCGCAACTGGAGAAATTATGGTACCAGTATCTGAAGATACTGGAGGTCTGGAAACCATCGCCGTTGTACCGCCTTTTGTTCCTTTAAATGCTCAGCCGCATCCTCATATTCAGGCTGCTCTAGAAAAAATGTCATCATCGCAACTTGAAGAAACGGCTAATGTAAATTCAAAGTTCCTGGAGGCTGGAAAACCAGCGCTGGAATCTCTACCGAGAATAGATGAGATTCCAGAAATCGTAACGAATGTAGAGAAGGGAGTAAAGGCAGACGTTCATGGGTTAAAGGGTTTGAAGTTGGACATTAAGTCCGCCCAAAGGTTTGTTTCTGGTCAGACAGTTCAGACTCCAAGTGGCCCAGTTTTTGTCCCAGGTCAAACCTTGCAGACACCAATTGGAGCTACCTTCGTGCCAGGTTTGACGGTTCATACTCCAGATGGACCATTGCTGATCCCAGGCCAGATCCTGACAGTCAAGGAAGACGGAGTCGAGACTCCAATTTTTGTTGCTGGTCAGACGCTCCTTACAAAAGATGGACCACAATTTGTTCAAGGGCAAACCATGCACACCACGGAAGGGGCCAAATTTTTACCTGGGCAGACCGTGATGACTAAAGAAGGCCCGAAGTTCGTGGCTGGCCAGATAGTAGAGAAGGAGTTCATTCCGGGTCAAACTGTCATGACAGCGAAAGGCGCGATGTTCATGCCAGGACAAACCGTGATGGACAGTCACGGAGAGCAGGTATTTGTGCCAGGAGAAAGCATCCAGATAAACAACGACTGGGAATTTATGCCTGGGCAGTCTCTCAAAACTCCTTCCGGTGAACCCAAGTTTGTTCCTGGTCAAACTATGTTAACTCCCGAAGGTCCCAAGTTCATTGCAGGCCAGAGCGTTGCAACAGACACCGGAGAAACTCATTTCATTCCTGGTATCACCGTAGAAACCAAGGAAGGACCAAAGTTCGTTCCTGGTACCAATGTTCAAACACCTCAAGGCACTAAATTTGTCGAAGGCCAGATTATGAAAACGCCAGAAGGGACGAAGTTCGTTCCAGGGTCGACCACTGTATACCATGAAGGGTTCCAGTTCGTTGCAGCAAAGAATCTCGAGGACCTCACATTTCTGGAAGCTGCTCCAGTGGGGGTACCTGTGGACCCTAAGACAGCTAGTGCCGTGTCACTATCTCACGAGCAGGAAATTTTTGGTCATATGGTGCAAACAGAAAAAGGTGTAGAGTTCGTGCCGGCGAGCGTGAAAAAGTTTCCAGAGGGCAAGAAGATTGTTCCAGGACAGCTGGTCCGTGGTGGCAAGGATGGGCCTAGATTCGTCCCAGGTGTGATGAGCGAGGATGGTTTTCTTCCCGGTCAGGTGGTTATGACCGAGAAAGGTGAGCAATTTGTTCCAGGCCAAGTAGTAGAAACTGCCGAAGGCCCAAAGTTCGTTCCTGGGCAGATGGTGGAAACCCGATCAGGACCAAAGTTCGTGCCAGGACAGACCATCGAAACGGCAGAGGGACCAAGGTTTGTCCCAGGTCAGATAGTTCAGACCAAGGCAGGTCCAACTTTTATACCCGGTCAAGTAATATCTACAGAAGACGAGGGCTCTAGATTCGTTCCTGGTCAGGTAGTGGACACTCCCGATGGTCCACGGTTCGTTCCTGGGAGAGTGGTCGAATCCGGAGAACTTGGAGTGACTTTTGTACCTGGACAGATTGTTCAAACGGAGGAAGGACCTCGATTTGTGGCACCTGACCTCATGGACACCCCGGAAGGTGGTCTGGAGTTTTCCGTTCAAGGTTTCGAGGTCACTCCTGAAGAACTTCGGCTTCTAAGACCCCAACACTTGCGGTACAACGCTGTCACATCGAGTTTACACGGCGAAACCAGCATTGATGCTCGGATGCTTAGGGAGCTTTCCGCAGCCGGAATGACGATTGGCAGGCAGCTTTGTACTGACTTACCAGCTGTTGATGTAGATATCGATCCCACGGCCGTGGCATTGGAACACGCCTTGGTGATAGCTGAAAAACTGGGATTACACGGTAGCTCAGCAGTCAAGATGGCACAGGTTATGTCCACCGTTGCTCAACTTGCCAAAAACATTGTTTCGCAACAGCAACAGCAGCAGTCACATCAGAATGGGAAACTGTCTAACGGAACCAAATCCCCGACAAATGGTGTTATTTCAACGGGTGGTGACGGTGAAAAAAGAAACGGCCATCAGGAAAACTGGTTGCAGGACGCCATCAGATCAGCAGTGACTGCCGCAGTGCTGACCATAACGAGTCAAACAACGAACAACGAGAACGAAAAGCAGGACTTCATGTTTTCCTCCATTTGCGAGGCCTTCAACGTCCTCCTAAGAAGAGGGTCGATGGACATCGAACGCTCAGTCGACGAAGTCCTGCAGATTCTTTTGGTACCTCAGAATCGCAGCGAAGTGTGCAAAGGAACGATGCTGGACTTATTAGAAGCTACAGGAAACAAGGTGGACATTCTCAAATCAACCGTAGGTGGAATCCAACTAAGAGACGATATAGTTATAGAGAGACTATCCGCCGTTCTTGAAGAGGAATACGGCAGCGATTTAGTCACCTCTGCATTCAGGACAGTCTCTAAGGGTGACCCGGGATTGGTCTCGAGAGTTTTACAGAAAGTCTCTAAAGAGGTAGCTGGAGTGGTTACTGAAAAGGAGGCTGCAGAAACAGTTCACAGAGCGATAGTTCAAGCTGTTCGGGAGTCTAGCGAGATCCGGGTCAAGGAGTTGCTTAACGACGATGGGACCAAGATCCGGGAGATGCTTCTCCAAGCCGTTGGCCTCGCTCGTGCCTTGGGGATGTCCAACACTGCGACTAGTCTTCTGGCTGTAATTAGTGACGAGAAGTCTACGAAAGCTTTGGTCGGCGATAAGGTCATTTTGGATGTGCTGAAGAGGCTCACAGTCATGAGGCAGCTCGCCGAAGAGAGGCCTCAGTGTATGGTAGCACTTCGAGAACTATGTAGCGACCCTGAACTGGCTCGAACAGATCCACGTCTCAGAACTCTGGTTCGAGAGAGTGCGGCCTTAATGATAGTCCCTGAAGAGGGTCCCCCACTGCAATCGTCAGTAGACGTTCCCATGTCCTTGCTGTATGCGGAGAACAGCTTAGCAATTGAAGACTTTCTCATGAGGAAGAGCCATAAGCCCTCCACAATATTTATGATTCTGAAGGAGGGCGTCCAGGCCGTCGTTCCTAGGGAGGCTTCCAGGGCTGTTTTGACTGGTCAAGTTGCATATACTGTTCTTGATGAGCATGGGATTAGACGATTTGAACCACTTCACGTGTTCTCTGCGCTAAGACTCAACAGACCCACGGCTCATCGGTTTTCCATGTACTGCTGTCCCGTTGCGAGAGAAGAAGATATGGACGCAGAGATGGTGTCCACCTTGACCGAAACCGTGTCCGCAACGAGTTTAGATGGGCTAACTAATGGAAATGGCACCAAACACGAAAGCAATGGCATTAGTTTGTCGAAATCTGATCGCTCTGGTGGGTACTCCGCCAGTCGCGAAAACACCCCCAGCTTTAGAAGACTCAGCAGCATCCTACAAGAGAATAATGTCGACATGGTAATGCCGGATTTCCTCTTTACATTTAGTTTCCTATTTATTGCCCAGTTTCGGCTGCCGAGCTTGGAAAGTCAATGCTCTTTTCCTCGTCGAAGAGTAGGTACCACTAACTTTCGGTGCTACAAAGAGGACACCCGAAAGTTCAAGCCGCGTGCCAAGCGCGGAAATGTCACCCATGCCCAGCTCGGGGGCCATTCTAATCCGTTAGGATCTTAAATTGAGCCGAGCTCACGAAAAGCATTCGCCTACTTTTACTTTCTCGTATAGAACTCGGTGAAGTTTCCTTAACTAAATTAAGCTGCAATCGCTTCATCTACGTAATCCAAGAAGCATGAGTTCTTCGAAAAAGACTCTCAGTCTACATTTTTCCTAAGTCTTTGAAATAGTTTCTTTTTCCATTTCATACGTGCGAAATTAATTTAACGGCCCTTCTCGACATTAAATTAGCGTCCCTAGCCGTTAAGGAGTTCCGAGAACCTCTGACGAGATGAATCAAAGACGTGGTGCCTTTTGACTCACAACTTGGAGGCAACAAATTCGTCCAAGTGGAGCGTGGGCCTTGCGCTTAAGTGCACATTTATTTAAAGCTCGCTTATTGAAAGTGCTTTGGATCGTCGTCTAGAGGAATTCAGCGCACTGTAAGCTTCGGGTTTAACGGGTCACTCTTCAGGTGCGAAGCGTCGGAATATCCGATTAGCCGGAAGTCCTCTCCGTGGTTGAAACTTCCGCTCACTCTTGAACGTCATCGGGCGCTGCTGGAAGGTCTTCCATTTATCTGAGAGAAACGTGATATCTAGAAGAGCTTTAGGAACGCTTTCCATGGCTGTCTATGAATTTTGACATTGACGCCACGAGCTTAATTACCGCTGAAAGGGCTCTCATCAGGCTTGGACAAGTGTGAATAATTCGATTCGTATTTTGCAGGCCGCCTCGGAGCAGTACATCGTCCTCGAGCAGTTTAAGGCTGAGGGTGAAAACGGAGTCTCCCTGAACGTCGGGGATATCGTCGATGCCGTTGAGCACGAGGAATCCAACAAGTAAGAGACGATCGATGTTACTTAAGTCAATTTTGCATGAGGCAATTCGAAAAAGAGCGCAAATCCCGAAACCAACGAGATCGTTGACTCGACGGAGAGTGTGCAATGTATTTCCGTCTGCGCTATTTGCGTTGCTGCTAAAAATATCACACCATAGAGCATAATATTTCCGCGGATAACCCGACTGTCTATCACTGCTGACATGACGAGCGATCTACTTCTACTCTGTCAGGATTTTCAACCTTGCTTTAGACCGTAAATTTCGTGAATACGATTGCTTGATTTGGGTTAGGAAATGTTGGGAGACCAAGGGAAACATTGTGATTTTTTGTCGTCCTGCCTGGTAAACGTTCCTTCTAATCATCCAAAGCTAGCATTATTTAGCATCCTCGATATATCATTTACATGGTACTTGAAAAATTTTGTAAGAAACGGATCAGTTTACCCTGTCTCAGAAAAATACAGGCTTTTAGAGTGTATGAAAGGAATGATTTTCCTATACGCGTATTTTTTCTCAGTATTTAAGTAAATTTCCACTCGTGAATTATGTTCGGTATCATTAGCAAATAATTCTGTTTGTCTACCGTGGGTTGTGAAAACACGGAACGAACGATGATGGATTATCGGAACGAAGAAATCGCACGTGGAGAATTTAATTGGCCATCGAGAAGGTGCCAACGGATGATTTGATGGAGCTCTTCCGTTTCGAGTTGGTAGCCAACTGTGGGTCTTTTCCCTGTGCGACTGCACGTACAGATTCTAATCGAACTCGTCCAAGTGTGCGAAATAGAATCGCCGGTGGTGGAGTTTCCACGAAATCGCGACAAAGGCCGCGCTTTTGGAACACCCGAATCGCGGATGCTCATTAGGGGACGGGAGAAGATCGAAGCAGGTGCGCTTTCGTACCGGGTGAAACGGCAGTAAGTAAAGGCGAATTTACACGGTGCCAGTAACTCGTACGAGTCACTAAAACCGAGTGCTGGAAGCGGGTGCTTTACGAGATAGGAGCGTTTACCCAGCCTTCTAGTACTGGTATAGTAGGAAGCAGAAAGTCACGTGCTATAACCCAAAAATGTCGAAGGGGCGAGGCAATTTTAAACATTTTACGAACAATATAATTAAACAGTATTTGAACGTGTTGGGTGAAGAGCTGTATTCTATTCTCTATTCTTGTCCTGTTGTAGTCTCGAATTCTTGAGGCATTCTTTCCCTCTATAAAATTCAACAAATGTCAACGTGGGGCCTTTTGTCCACCTTTGGGCCATTTCAAGACGAAATTCAACCCAAAATTGTACAGAACTGCTTCTATTTGCTCTTGGAACTTGCCCGCCTCCCTCGAAAAACGCATCTACACGTGTCTGGTATACAAGATAGAGTGAAACACGTGGTGTGGGTTACAACTCGCGCCAGAAAATAGAATTGCTTTCTATTCCCTCGACTCGCATTGGCCCTTGGGCGAGTATTCTACTCCAGGACTGAAATGGCAGTTTCCCCGAGACGAGTAATACTCGGCTTTAGTAACTCGTACGAGTTATTGGCACCGTGTAAGTTCGCCTTAAGGTGAAGTGAAACACGTCGAGAAACTTGATCGACGTCGATAAGTAAGATTTTTCTAAATGCCTACGTTGCCGACGTTCGTTTTTATATTGACAGCTGTGTCGAATTATATTGGGTATTGTACCAAATGGGATACTCCCCCTGTCGTTTTCGTACAATAATTATAAAGAAAGCGAAGTAAAACTCGCCTTTTTTGCCTAATACCCTTCCTCGCCTAGTTTGGTCTAATACCCTTAAAAAAAAGTGTTGTATTCGAATTGATTGATTTGGAGGGGGTTTCACTTCACCTTAACGCTCCTGCGAGAAATTAGGAGGCCGAAGAGCACGGGTTCAAAATTGAGGGAGTGAAATGACTAAAATGCACTGATCTATGTACTAGCTGGATAGTTGATACCTGTTTGTTCTATACGGAGAGAATTTGGACGAATTCAAGGCACCCCAGCGCCAACTATATATGGGCAGCGATACTAAATAAGTAACGGGGGCGCATGTGCAAACATTTTGAACCGTCGTTTCGCGAGCTAAAACAAACTGGTTATCTTTTTTCTCGTAAGTATTTGAATGAAAATGGGAATTATTTTTGCCAGTCAATTAATTGTACACCTCTTATCCTATCTACAACTGAATGACACGTGTTTTGATGCATGCGCAAATACTCCATTACTTTGCGTTCATGATTAGAGGGCTTTGGTCGCTTCAAAACGTCCCGCCATTTTGGAGGATATGAGTTATCCAGTTAGTATATAGATCGGTACTAAAATAACTAGGGACCAAGGCGAAGGAAAAAGAGAGCCATGGTAGTCAATCAAGGTGTCTCGCCGAGAAAAGGGGATCGCTGCCCTGTCCGACTTTCGCTTGTTAATTTTAACGACTGTATTTTTACGCCAACCGAATTTTCGTTAACATCTCCGCTTTGGTCGCTTTTTCATCAATAACGTCACGATATTCATTGAATATCCCGGAAACATTCATACACTGTTCCACAAATATTCGTTTCATCTCAGTAAATGACTATTTCCATATGAACATGATATTCTATAGACATTGTATGGTTATTAACAAATATTCTTCAAATATTGAATATCAGTTTTTTTCAATATTTTTTAAGTATCCATAGGATATCCGGTGCTGTCCATGTAGTCGATATTTTGGGTGGAAAATCGTATCCAAGATCTTTCTATGTGCGATAAATCTCGAAACCGTAAACATCGCGAGGTCAATACATAAAATCGAAAATGTACAACCTCTTGCAGTTACTTCCTTTTTTCTTCTTGGTTCGGTCGGTTCCCTTTTTCAACGTTTTTCGTAGACATTCTCGCACACCGCAGCACTAAATTGCGGTGCACCCTCTGTTGGGTAGAGCTATGCTTCCAGTAAATCTATTTCGGCCCCACATCAGTCCTGACAGACGTTGCGTTTACATTATTCGCGCCGTCCTCTATGGGATACGACCAAAAACGTCTTCAAAATAATGAGGGTGATAGGCTTTAACGAGCGAATAACTTAAAAATGAAAAAAATCTTAATTGATGGACGCGGGCAATAATCTTTGCACCAACTTAAAAATGCAGGGGAGCAGATCAAAGGACTTACAAGGAAGATATCCCGGGTCGATCTCTCCGATTTCATTTCTTTTATAATATGTTATAGTAGACTAAAAACTAAGGGATACGTATTTTTTTTTATCTGCCATTAAACAGTTTAAGGGGGTGAAACCACCATCCAAAGTAAGGCATGTCAAGGGACGATTTGGCAGTTTCACCCTCAAAGGACTTACAAGGAAGGTATCCCGGGTCGATCTCTCCGATTTCATTTCTTTTATAATATGTTATAGTAGACTAAAAACTAAGGGATACGTATTTTTTTTTATCTGCCATTAAACACTTTAAGGGGGTGAAACCACCATCCTAAGTAAGGCATGTCAAGGGGGTGATTTGGCAGTTTCACCCACAAGAACATAATATTTTTTAACCAATCCACCTGGAAAAGCTTTCTCACAACGAAAAGTGAAAAATATAATTTTCTCAATGAAGAAAAAAAATTAAGGGGGGAGCCACCCCTAAATATGATAACGTTTATGTAAAAAATGGTTAAATTCAAGTCTAAAAATGTGAAAAAAATATATGTTGCGTATGAACACGAAGGAAATACGACGTGTTTTTGGATTTTCCTGAAAAAATATATTAGGGCAACTACCCCCGATCGCTCACCCCTGAGGGAGGTATTTAAGGACCTTGTTTTTAATTTGGGAGACAGGAGAAAATTGTGGGTACGAAGCTATTACGTCTCAAAACGTAATATTCATGGTTTTATGAGAAAGAAGGGTGAGTGACCTTAACACTACTCGCGCCGGGCGAAAGTCTTTCTCCACATACTACAGGAGGGAGGTGGCCCTCGACTCCGCTTTTTTTCGGCGAATTCTTTCGTTCTCGTCTGGCAACGAAGACTGCCACCGAGTGCTGTTTTCTTTTAGACCAGAAGCTTCCCTAGTAGCAAAGAATAATTTCTAAATATTTCTTTGCTAAATATCTCAAGCGACAGATTTTTTAAGATTTCTTGTANCTGAGCTAGTATTATATCAATATTATAGGGATAATATTCTAAAGTAAACGTTTTGCAAATATTTCAAATGTCTGGTAAATATTTACAAAATCTACGATATTCGTCAAATATTAAGAAACTCGGTAGAGTTTCGCGCCAAATATATATATAGAGACGCGAAACTCAGACGTATATAGAAAGTATAGGAGAAATATTTTATGCTACTAGGGTTAGAAACCGCGATCGGACACGCATCGCTCTCGCAATTCAGAATATTATTCACGTACCAAATTGTTCTTACGAATTTAATAAACTATGTGGTCAAATTCAGTTTAGTCCATATAGCCCTCAACTAGTGTACTATTAACTTAGGGCACGATAAAGACATTCCGTTCCAAGCGGAACTTTTTATTTGGAACCTTGCGTGGCATACGTAAGAAAGATACAGATGCTTCGAAGAACGAATCCCACAGCTTGATTTGCAGCAGCCAGACATTAACTCGATTTAATCCATCGCGGCCTGATTCGCAACAGTCTTAATTAACGCAATTTAACGCTTCTGCCTATTCGCACGTGCAATGAAAATGTTGGCCAATGCGAGGTTCGCTAAAATTGGAGGTCCGCACAACATGGCTACTAACTAGGAATGACAGCTGCTTGGAGGTCAGGGGAGCCTGTGATGTCACGGAGAAGAGGGGTTGAAGGACACTGGGACGTTTTGTAGGAAGCTGAAGAAGGATCCTGAATTAGAAGTTGGAGAGATCGGAGAGCCACTTGACAACTCTGCTGCCAAGCACAAGCTGTCAGTGCGACCTCATAAGAATTATGCCAGTCCGAGAGCGCGCACCATTTCAAGGTCGGGTTCCGATACCAACGTACAGAGGTAGGTTCTTCGAGTTCAAAGGAGGACACCTCGCGCCAACGACGTGAAGAACAGGGAATGAAACTTAAATTGCGCTCTGAAAAAGAGAAACAACGTTTAAGCGACGTCAATCGTTCACTTCTCGTCTTTAAACGATTCTATTGCGGATGTTTCGAATTTTCAAAGTAAAAACTGCAAAGATGCGAAATTTAGAATTTAAACGCAAGAAATTAAGAGGTGATGAGGTCATCGAGAGCAGGAACTTCTTTAACGCGTTGTGTAATTGCTTGATGGGGGTCTCGATAAAGTCAGCAACCTTAAGGTGAAGTGAAACACGTCAAGGAACTTGATCGACGTCGGTAAAAAAGATTTTTCTAAATACCTACGTTGCCAACGTTCGTTTTTATATCGACTGCTGTGTAGAATTATATTGGATATTGTACTAAATGGTATACTCCACCTGTCGGTCTCATACAATAATTATAAAGAATTCGAAGTAATACCCCAGAAATCCTCACGATTCATGGTTTCCGAGACCCTAACTGACTGCAGAGGGACGCCCTGCGCCATCTATGATTTCCGTGTGAACTAAATTTTCACTCCGAGACTTCGTATTACCATTGGTTTAGCATAGTAGCGCAGATGACACTTTTTTGCCTTTATCCCGTTCAAATGCTAGTTCCTCGATTATCAACGTGTTCTAAATTGTTGTACAATTGTCCTGGCATTTTCGTTTCTTATATTAGAGCCTTCAATAATTGCATATCGATCGAAGTATGAGGGCGCGACGTCATATTGGTTCTGGTCTGGGCTAAGTTAAAGTAATTTGTTTAAAAAATCCAAATTTTGAAAGTGTCAGGATATTTCCTTGGTGCTCACGATTGATATGACAAAGTTTCGGATGGTTCGATCCAATACCCTTTAAAAAAAGGGTCTTATTCGAAGCGACTGATTTGAGGGGGGTTTCACTTCACCTTAAGTAACAACGATGCCAATGACCCTCTATATAGATGCATCTACACGATTGGAGGGATGTAGTAGATCTTTGGCTGGCTTGTATTGTCAATTAGCGTGGGCGAGGTGCCCGAAGTCTTGTATCAAAGTCGATCCATTGATTATGGAGTCGAAATTAATCGAGCTTTGTATTGATACCTTCCAAAGATATGGCGACGAAGAAACTAGAATTCCGAAATTTGTAATTACTTGGATCCAGATGGTCATATTTCGTTTTAGGAATGGTATGCTAAGAGTTTTTATGCCTTAGGTTTATTGTGATATTTATTTATACTTTTTTTTAAGTAACGTCTCAAAGAACGACTCCACGAGTGCCTAGTTATTTTGAACTTCACACCTTTTCCTTTTCCTATGATTTAGCTTCCATCCGCATTTCTTGGTCCTCCATTTTCTTTTACCCTTTTCCCAGGCTAATAATAGCGACTTCTTATCGTTACGGATGGTATGCTAAGGTTTTTACGCCTTAGGTTTATTGTGATATTTATTTATGATTTTTTTTAAGTAACGACTCAAAGAGCGACTCCACGGGTGCCTTGTTATTTTGAAGTTCACACCTTTTCCTTTTCCTATGATTTAGCTTCCATCCACATTTCTTGGTCCTCCATTTTCTTTTACCCTTTTCCGAGGCTAATAATAGCGATTTCTTATCGTTACCGATGGTATGCTAAGGTTTTTATGCCTTAGGTTTATTGTGATATTTATTTATACTTTTTTTTAAGTAACGTCTCAAAGAGCGACTCCACGGGTGCCTTGTTATTTTGAAGTTCACACCTTTTCCTTTTCCTATGATTTAGCTTCCATCTACATTTCTTGGTCCTCCATTTTCTTTTACCCTTTTCCCAGGCTAATAATAGCGATTTCTTATCGTTACCGATGGTATGCTAAGGTTTTTATGCCTTAGGTTTATTGTAATATTTATTTATAATTTTTTTTAAGTAACGACTCAAAGAGCGACTCCACGAGTGCCTTGTTATTTTGAACTTTACACCTTTTCCTTTTCCGATGATTTAGCTTCCATCTACATTTCTTGGTCCTCCATTTTCTTTTTCCCTTTTCCGCGGCTAATAATAGCGATTTCTTATCGTTACCGATTCGCCTATAAATCGGCCGGACATTCCCCTAAAATTAGCTGGCAGGGACTCTGCGGGAACACAAAAGACCAAGGGAGAATTGTGTTGTAAATCTGTATAGAACGTTGCGGTCGAAATTCCAATCTTCCGACGTTCCATAGTTAATGTCTGCTTTAAGATATATTGTGACGCTAATGAAGACTAAGTGGTTGCACTTGGCGAATGCATTAATGATTTATGTACCGATATAAACACTCTGACTCGCGTTCGAGAGAAAACTCGACGCGTATCGACTGCCATTTTTAAAAACTACTTTTATCCGTTCAAATCGAACGACTTGCAATTTACAGCCAGCCTTGACAGTCAATGTTGGTTCACTCCCCTAACCATAGTTTAAACAAGGGTGGTTAGTATATATCTAACGAATATCATACATTTCGTAAATATTTAGCAGACATTTGAAATATTTGCAAAACGTTTACTTTAGAATATTATTTATATAATATTAGCTCCATGTGTTTTCGTAATATTTTTCTACCAGATATACAAAACATTTCGTTTCATTTTAATACAAGTATTTTTTAAATATTATCTGCCGAACACATTATAAACGTTTTAAAAATGTTTAAAGTCAAGATCACACGTTTTGTTACAATAATGAAATAGCGGTACGAAAATATTAGAAAAATTTCTCGTGTTTTTTTTGTACCAAATGAAGTGTCCGATAATAGTCGTGAAGTAAAAGAAATGTATTTTTATTATATGTTTATAAATTATTGAAACTAAATATGTCATTGAGATTTTCAACATAATGAGAATTTCAACGAATAAAATCTACAAGAAGTCTTAAAAAATCTGTCACTTGAGATATTTAGCAAAGAAATATTTAGAAATTATTCTGTGCTACTAGGGATTCTGCGGTTATCATTATGTAAATATTCTATGATGTTAATACCACCAAATGTTACAGGGTGTACGTTCGTACTAGCGACGGGAAGGAAGGATGGGTGCCTTCGAATATTGTGAAACAAACCACCTTGAGCGAGGAAAGTTCAGGAACCTTGACCACCCATCATCGCCCAGAGGATTCTCATTATCGAAGAGAGTATGTTCCACTTTTTTAATTATTTTTAATTATTTTCTGTTAAATATTAGTGGTAATTCTTGTAAAATTGTACATTGTCCCTACACAAGTTCAAGTTTGGCGATCAAAGTTTGCTTCAAAATAACACCCTTAGACTGCACGGTAAATAACAGTCGAATTTGCGTGTTAATATGTTAATTCCAGAGATGCCTAACTTAAAGATACTTTTATTATAAATTTAAAATATTTGATTATAAATTTCTCTGTGTACCGCAAGCCTGATTTATGCGTATGTTCATTTCTCTGGCAACACAACGACGACTAAAAGATGTCTAAAAAAGGAGGAATTTTCCGAAAAGTCATCTTTTGGTAATAGCATATAGTCGGCGAAAAATGCCTAAGAGATTTCTTACATACCGGTTTGTGTCATTTTTCAATATAGATTAGAAGATGAAAAAATACAAACGTTTCTTCTGAAACCATAGAGGAAAATGGCATCACGAGTCGAAACTGTGACCATAGTACCTAGGTAGAAAAGATTGTTCTCTTCAAATTGATCTCTCGAGCGAGTGGCTGGGATTTTTTTCAGAGAAGATACGCGTTTTTAGGCATTTTTGGCGTTTTTTGGCGTTTTTAGGCGTTTTAAGCAACTTTAGACGGTTTTAGTTGATTTTAAACGATTTCGAAGGTTTTAGACGTCTCTCTACCTATTCCTGCGTTTACAACTTTTTCAGTAATTGAAATTAAAATGCAAGAATACCTCATTGGAATAAAGGAATAATTTTATGCGATATTGAAATCTTCTTAACTAATATAAAGCCAGTATTTCGTACGAATGTCAATTTTAGATTGACGTACAGGACCGTACGTAACAATTAGGCTTCCGTCCTTTTGGCAGTAAATGTCCGAATTAGTGCTCTACTTAATTGGAGATTGCCGGATTACGTATATAAGCTCCCAATTATTTACATTGCATTGGAAAAATGTCGGTGCCGGTGCCGGCGAAAATGATCATGTTTGATGCATTGCTCGTGTGGGGACAAATGGCCTAAAAAGACTCACTTTACTTCCTTGGTACCCAATGTATTACTAAATCAAACATTGTTTTGAAAATATTTCCAGAGCCGTAATAAAGGAGTTGGTCGAGACGGAGGAAGAATTCGGCAGAGACATCCAGTCGGTTGTAGAACGTTACTTAAAGCCACTGGACAATCCCACTGTCCCGCGTGCCGTTCGAGACAACAAGGATCTTATTTTTACAAACCTTAAACAAATAGCTGACTTTCATAATACGTACGTATATACAAAAATCTCACCACAGAGAATTAGTCTCTTCGATATACTACTACACGACAGTCCTCGGATGATTGCTGTACGTTAAAGCATCCAAAGAATATTTTTCTTCAAACATTAAGGTGATATGAAAGTGCGATATATACGTGCCAAAAAGTCAACATATTTATAAAACATTTTTCCAAACTGGGTGCACCGAATTATCTGAAACTTTAACGCGTGATTACCGAGGCTCTAAGGAAGAACACGCTGCTCGTGAAATTTCATTTTTCGAACAAAATTTTGCATTTATCTCAGACAAGAACCAAAAAAGATATATTTTGTTTTTCGAAAAATGAAATTTCACGGGCAACGCGTTCTTCCTTCGAGTCTCCATAATCACGTATTTAAGTTTCAGATAATTCGGTGCACTTAGTCTGGAAAAAAGTTGTATAATTATTTTGACTTTTTGGCATGTATATATCACACTTTCATATCACCTTAAAGGGATGATCGTTTATGAAACTTTCCTGCGAACTGTGTGTACCGAATTGTATCAAACTTAACAATGTGAATATGGAGGCTATATGGAAGGTCCTAACACCCCTGAAATTTTAATTTTTTAAAAATTTGTTTACAGATGTTTTTGCAATTTTTTATAAGAAATGAAATTTCATGAGTTTCAGAACCTACATTAGAGCTTTCAAATTCACGTTCGGTACACCCAGTTCGTAGAAAAGTTTTATGAACGATTGACTTTTTGGATGCCACTTTCGCATTCCCTTAAACTGAAATATAATGAATTTAAAATTCATCGTATAAAAAATAAAAATTGTACAAGATATCTCATATGGGACAGCAATCTTCCGTCACATACCCTGCAAGACAACGAAACAACATTGACAAAAATACAATTGAAACGACATGAAAATTCAACCCAGCTGACCCGATTAATTCTGCCATTCACGTTAATCTACTCAAGATTAAGCAGAAAATAGAAAACGAAAAAACACATACACGATTATACGAAACACGCAAATATTTCGGTCAATACAAGTACTTTCCTATTTAGTGAGCAAAACGTATAAAACGTAAGTCCGAGATTGAACCTCTGAGTGTGCGTGTGCATTCTTTCTCCTCCCTTCTTATGTACAAAAGGAAAAGAAAATCACACCTCCCGTGTCTAATACTTAAATATTAAAATTGAGGGTTCATTTTGAAGGTCGGTTGTATAGCATCCTCCCTCTACTGGCTAGCAACTCACAACCTCGTGGGAACTAAATCTCTTCAATTTCTCTGGGAAAATGTTATATTTAAAAGTTAAATATTAGAAAGTACGTTCTGTGCAGTGCTTGCTCGTGATGTTTTTACCCCTGAGAGCTTTGCAAGCGTCGAATCCCCTAACTTTTCCCCACGTCCATTCGAGAAACTGAAAATATGAGGCCTGACTTAAGGCAGTCGTACCGTGTTATAGGTGCAAAAAATTGAAAAATATCTTATTTGATAAATTGCTTCTATAATGTGTCTAGAATACGTAGAATAAAGGATTTTTCGATATTCGTAGTCGGTGGGTAGTTACAGACGTAGAACGGAGCCGGTGTCGGAGAAGGGTGGAGCACCGGAGCCTTTGTTATGATGAATTCAATGAATTCGGCTGCCACCTAAGACCTTTTTAACTAATGCTCATGTAGAGGAAATACTAAATTCATTGGGCATCCCTTCCTATGTTAAATTAGACGCTACAGGAACGATTAGTTTGTTTTGATTTGGCGTTCGAGCGGCGGGTATTTCAAAATTGCATTTTTTAAATTGGCTGAAAAGATTTCTCAAAAACTTCTCTTTTTGACTAATGCTCATATAGAGGAGATACTAAACTCATTGGATATCCCATCCTATGTTAAATTAGACGCTACAGGAACGGTTAGTTTAGTTTTGACTTGGCGTCCAAGCGGCGGGTAATTAAAAATTGCATTTTTAAAATTGGCTGACAGGATTTCTCAAAAACTTCTCTTTTTGACTAATGCTCATGTAGAGGAGATACTAAACTCATTGGGCATCCCTTCCTATGTTAAATTAGACGCTACGGGAACGATTAGTTTGTTTTGATTTGGCGTTCGAGCGGCGGGTATTTCAAAATTGCATTTTTTAAATTGGCTGAAAAGATTTCTCAAAAACTTCTCTTTTTGACTAATGCTCATATAGAGAAGATACTAAACTCATTGGATATCCCATCCTATGTTAAATTAGACGCTACAGGAACGGTTAGTTTAGTTTTGACTTGGCGTTCGAGCGGCGGGTATTTCAAAATTGCATTTTTAAAATTGGCCGACAGGATTTCTCAAAAACTTCTCTTTTTGACTAATACTCATGTAGAGGAGATACTAAACTCATTGAAGATCCCTTCCTATGTTAAATTAGACGCTACAGGAACGGTTAGTTTATTTGACTTGGCGTTCGAGCGGTGGGTATTTCAAAATTGCATTTTTTAAATTGGCTGACAGGATTTCTCAAAAACTCAATGGATTTTGTTCAAATTTATATGGGATGTTCAGTACACGCATAATTCTCGCTCGAACTAGGATAATTGCGATATCTGTCATAGTTTCTTTTAGCAAGCTTTTAAGCTTTATTGTCACTTTTAAGTCGAAAAAAAGACAAAACTCGGAATTAAATTTTCAAAAACCGTGCCGAAAATTTAATTTTCAATATTTTCATTTGGTTCTAGTTCCGGCTATAGCCACAGGTCTACGGATTAAAATAATATTTCATTTTTTTCATTTCCGACGAACGGAACAGCCGGAATCGTGTCGACCGTCAACCTACTTATTTTTCATGTGTCTTTTGACCGCTGTAAAGTCGATTCCAATCTATATTTTTGCTTTAAAAAATTCCGAGTAACCGTACAAATGTTAGTAAATATATTGTTAAAATTGCAAGATGGGGTATTTTCATGGTTCGTTAGAAAAAATTGTGAAAATACAGCCGTCACGCGGTACGACTGCCTTAATGCATTTTATACGTACCGACGCTGAGCTGAATTTGATGTCTTGGTCGGAAACGAGACGGAAGACTGGTTTAGCTCGTAAGTGTCGAAAGTTTGGCATGACATTAATTCCGGCCTTACTTAGATCGTTCGGCAGGGTGTTGATCGAGGGTGTCAAGTATTACGCGGACCAGCCACGGATGCTCGGGAAAACTTTTTTGAGACTGGTAAGCAATGTTATTCCTTACCTTCTATAACGGTAATCACGTAATAAAAGAAACTAACAAAGACATGTGATTTTTTTGTTTGTTTCAAAGGAAAGAGATTTCGACAAACATGTGGCTTACTGCAGGGACGAGCCGACCGCTCAGGAGTTCCTTCAGATGAACGACGACGTTCGAGAATATTTCGAGGTGAGTCGAGGAACATATGAGCCGCTCAGTGCACACATCGACTAACTCCACTTTTTGAAAAATCTTAAATTTAGGGGTCAAAGCACTTGGTATGGTCATAACTTTTTATATTTATAATATCTTTCCTGATTAATAGAGATTAACACCATTAAACGGCAAATTTTTTTGGGCATTGAATAATAAGTAATTTATTTCAGAAGCCATTTTGATTAACTCCATACTCTAATGTAAATCGTAGACGAATACCTGGCAGTATAGTATTATTGGATTATCTGTTGCGGCCGTACATCGACGCTTTTTTTTTTAAACAGCCGAAGATGCTTTCCCCCTTTCAACGATGTGAGTAATAAAATCGCATCAGCAAACAGATAGAAAGAAGCGCAATGCAGACGGTAGTTAGTATAACGGTGATCTCTCACGCTGAATGTTACCGTATACTTCACCAATATTACACGCACTACATATTTTTTTGTCTTTTCAACATTACTCCCTGATTGTTTTTAAAGAACTAAATATTATACCGCTATAATCAAGACGAGTGAAACTAATAACAATGTGGATGTGGAAAGCAGGGATGATTCTTCGATACGATTTATCAGCAGAAAGTCTGGGGCAAGAAGACGTTTATCGTGTTTCTCGGATTCATCCGATTGCAACGGTACAAATTCCCCAACAAACCCATCGATTGGGAGGAAAAGAAGTCGTAATTCTGATAAATGGGCATGAAATTTACAAAAGCATAACGGAACAAAAGGTTTGACATACAGGAACAAGGGAGGAAATTTAATACCTGCAAAAACATTTGTCGATATAAAATGCAGACGATTATTTTGTTGGCTATTCTTTCTTATTAATTTTATATACCGTTAGATGAAAATATTTATGTATTCTACATTATATATTTGAAGTTATATTATAATAGGAATTTTAAAAAAGAATCTACATTACTTCATCGCATTTCTCAACTTTTTGTTTTACGGAGTTAATCAATGTGTGCACTGAGCGGCTCATATATCTTCATTATCGACTTCTGATTGTACACGTGTATTATTGATTTAATTAGCTTTAGCGATCACTCTGGTAAGTCTAGCCAAGGTGACGTTTTGCGTATTTTAAGACGCGAATTTTATTAAAGCGCCTCTGCATTATTGTTCCTCAGTCTCTCGAGTGAAGTTCGTAATGTTTACTTTGTATATTTTGTTGCACCATGGTTTTACCACATTTTGTTTGTGATAGGACAAAATGAACAGCGTTTCCGCTCGTGGGAGGTGTTTATGTGAGTTAATAATTCTGCAATAATATGCAGATTACGCGAACGTGATGATTTCGAGATGTTGAGTACCTCCAAAAATGAAAGTAAATCTAAAAGGAAACCTAAATGACTTTTTATATCTATCATACAATTAATATTATGGGGCAGAATAATTATTTTCAATTTCCGGTCAAAGAGAATATGGAAAATGAGTTCAAGTGTTAGCATACCAGTGTTTGTGATGAATATGTTGCAAAGAAGTCATATATTTTGGTATCATATTAATAATAAATCAACCACGACCGTTTTAAACCGTTAATTAATGACCATTTTAAATGGTATTGGTAATGGGATGTAAATTATCGGTATTATGGGTTCAATGTTAAACTTTTTATACGACGTAATGCAATTCTCTTTCTCTCTTCCACCCAGCAAATTTATACGAACAATTACTTAAACAAGTGAATGATAAAGTTATCGTTTTCAATTATTTTAAATAGTGTAAAAAAAGATGCATCTACCGACAGTTGATTCTCCTTCCGGCGATAAAACAGAGTTCTTCCTCCTGTTGGTAACCACTCTTGCAGATAAAACAGATTTCTATTTACCGTTTACTTCTAAATGCGACGACTAAGACCGTAACTAAATAATTGTAACTTATCCGCATACTCACATAAAGTCTTGCTCTTCTTCCTATTGAACACCCTTAACATCAAACATCCAACTAAACCTTAATTCATTAAATTAAATTATTATTTAATTTTCAGTTGATTAGCGCAGCCCTAGTTTTCACTTTCTATGTCGTGGCTTTGCAAATTAGCAAATAGGCAAATGGTAAAGTGTACTGCTAAAGTCAATGTTCCCTGAAATATGTTTCAATGATGGAGGTAGAATTAGTCATTTCTGACCGCCTGCAACATTATGAATGCCATATCGTGAACATTAACACCGAAGATGCGCAATTACATAACGGTGGAAGCATACGGGCTTCTGTCCAGGCCTCGAAATAGCTGAGTTTATTTTTAACACGAGAACATCTTTCGTCCCTCTTCTTCGCACTTTGGATTCATAGTGGTCCACGTATCTTGCAGAAAGAATGAAAAGAAAAGAGAAAAAGGAAATGACTATCGTCGGTTCTCGGCCGAAACAGCATGGGCGAAGTTTCCGAAGAAACCGAGTCATTGAAGACTTTGTAAACGTAGAATTTCACGCATCTTATCATAAAGTCAATCACGTTTTTTACAACTTTCAGTTATTAAAATAACTCGTTATGTTATTACACGTTATTCGCATATTTCCATTTACGGATTATGAAATATACAAATAATATTGAATATTCAAAGGAAATAAAATAGTCTTTAAGGTGAAGTGAAACCCCCTTCAAATCAGTCGATTCGAATACAACCCTTTTTTTAAGGGTATTAGACCAAACTGTCCGAAACTTTGACACGTCACTCCTGATCATCTAAGAATTGTCCTGACACATTCAAAATTTGGATTTTTTTTTTAATGTTTTAACTCGGCTCAGACCAGAACCGAAATGGCGTCGAGCTCTCATATTTCGATCGATATACAATTATCGAAGGCTCTGATATGAGAATCGAAAGGGTCAGGACAATTTTACGACAATTTAGAACACTCTTGTAATCGATAAACTCTCATTTGAACGGGATAAAGGCAAAAAAAGTGTTGTATGCGCTTCTATGCCAAAACGATGGGAATGTGAGGTCTCGGAGTGAAAATTTAATTGACCTGGAAATCACAGATGGCGCAGGGGGTCCCTCTGCAGTCAATTAGGGCCCCAGAAAGCATGAATCCGGAGGATTTCTGGAGTTTTACTTCGATTTCTTTGTAATTATTGTACGAAAACGACAGGTGGAATATGCCATTTGGTACAATACCCAATATAATTCGACCTAGCTGTCGATATAAAAACGAACGTCGGCAACGTAGGCATTTAGAAAAATCTTCTTTATCGACGTCGATCAAGTTCCTTGACGTGTTTCACTTCACCTTAATATTTTTCTTTTTATATTGTTTTATTTGCTTAGTTATGAGAAAAACATTAGCCAAATCGAAGCGAAAATTTGGGATGTTGCTTCACGTGTTCAAGGCCCTAGATTCGGTTTGGTTGGTTTTGCATCCGATGAATATTGTTTTCAAATTTTGTTATGGATAGCTGGACTTAAGGGAACACAGTGACGACATTATTTACGGAATGGAACGTTTTCCTTAACATTTCGTGGGTCTTTGAGTCATGAAAACGTTATTTTCGAGCTTCCGCAAAAGAACTCGATGAATTTCTGGGCTCATGCGTAAGTCGCAAGGAAACGAAGTAAAAACAACTTTGTGGATTCACTCGAGATGCTGCCAAGTTTCCGGATCTTGCTAAATGTCGAGTAAAATATGACGTGTTGATTGTCAAGTGCACAAATAAATTCTTTTCTGGTTTTATAATAAAGCAGGTACCGCGAAAGAAATTCGCGAATCAAGTCTACTACAACCAGTATTGAGGCAGACGATGGTGCAAAAAATATTGCCGATTAAAAACAATCTAACAAGTATCGTTTTCTGAACAATCATCAAGTTACGGTTGTCTTTTATACCGTAAACATCGCCAGAAACTTTTATTTCGATCTCTGAAATATGCTCGCATGTTCGGGTCGTCACGGTTGTAAATGTCTTCAAGTCATTCCAGGATCCCATAACCAGATCGTAAACTTCATATGAATCGGAAAACACGCAAGACAATGTGATATGATTTCCCTTTATGATGATGTAGTCGAATGTTAATTATCTGCAGTTGACACGTTAATTCTTTAATTGATTACACGAATGATCAACCTCTCGACAGAAGATTAGAGGTATCTCTAATCTTTAACCCTTTCGTTACCTTGGACGAGATATCTCGCGACCCAATACTGGCCGATTAACGCTTTTGACGAGATATCTCGCGACCCGATACTGGCCGATCAACGCTTTTGCCGAGATATCTCGCGATCCGGTAGTAGCGGATTAACTAGATTATCGTCAAAAGCGTTAATCCGCTACTACCGAATCGCGAGATATCTCGTCAAAAGCGTTGATCGGCCAGTATCGGGTCGCGAGATATCTCGTCAAAAGCGTTGATCGGCCAGTATCGGCTCGCGAGATATCTCGTCAAAAGCGTTAATCGGCCAGTATTGGGTCGCGAGATATCGAGGTTAACGAGCTTGATAACGCCTGGATGACGGAATCACTGGAAGCGATTCGTCCCGCACGACGTACAATTTATTAGGGTTTCTACGAAATGCGTCAAGACTCCCATACATTTATTTATAGGACCCCGTCTGCCCTAGCAACCTTCTCGTCTGGTGTATCCATATTTACCCGACACACTGTTCTACTTTCCTCCCATCAAATTCAGACCATTCCACCCAGGTCTAATCGCCGTCTGGGTAGACGTCTAGGAAGCGAAGAATTACCCCCAGTCCTCGGGGCCTGGTGGCATCGGATGCATCTTACATCCTTACAATGTTTATAACTCCTCCATAGAGTTCCTGTAACTGAAAACTGCTCATGGGTTTCAACCTGCACGACCGAGCCTTAGCCGTTTCACCCAGGTCTAATCGCCGTCTGAGTGGACGTCTAGGAAGCGATGAATTACCCCCAGTCCTCGGGACCTGGTGGCATCGGATGCATCTTACATCCTTACAATGTTCATAACTCTTCCATAAGGTTCCTGTAACTGAAAACTGCTCATGGGTTTCAACCTGCACGACCGACCCTTAGCCGTTTCACCCAGGTCTAATCGCCGTCTGGGTGGACGTCTAGGAAGTGAAGAATTACCCCCAGTCCTCGGGGCCTGGTGGCATCGGATGCATCTTACATCCTTACAATGTCCATAACTCTTCCATAAGGTTCCCTGTGACTGAAAACTGCTCATGGGTATCAACCTGCACGACCGACCCTTAGCCGTTTGCTCGTGGACGGTCTCGGATGTGGCGTTAATCTCTAAGTATAGCCGTGGCCTGACTTGATCCGAGGGGCCGGTGGTAGGTCTCTTCGGGAACCACCGACTAGGTTTTCCCGAAGAGATGGTCCAGTTTGCGGTCAGCAACGCAGCCTCTCGAAATCACGTTCCGACGTCGAGGTGCGTGTTGGTTCCCTCGCTCCACGCGTCAAAGTGACGCTCGGTGCGTGATCCTTTGGCGAGGGGTCGTCTTCGATAGCCATCGATCGCCATCGATCGTCTTCGATCGCCATCGATCGCCATCGATCTCCCAAACCGATCGGACTCTACATCCGGTGACGATATGTGTCTCCGTTGTCAGACGTAGACGCGCCAAAAATACACGTGATTCGCCAAACGGCACCTCCGGTGTCGAATTACCGGACCAGTCGACATTTCTGAACTGGATTCTGGGTCCGATTCCAATGTGGGATTTGCAGCATTTTTGTGGATCGCCAAGGCAACCCGGGATGGCCCTGAGGCATCTCTAAATTTCCGCATCCGAGGGATGCGAAAGCGGACCGCTCTTCTGGTGTTTTCATTCTGGTTCTTTTGGACCCTTTCCGAGATGCGTTCTTGTCGTCGAGTGGCTAATGGCTCAATGTGGAATTAGGGTCCTGTGATGCCGCAGCTGGTTTTCAAGTTGCTGATTAGAGTGCTATAGTTTCGGAAGAGGAGGAAAAATTACGCTACTTATGCTAGGTGGGTTAGATTGCTGAGATGTCGCTCATGGAGGCAATCCTATGCGCTCGGGAGTCGTTTCTGGGAGGACACAATTGTTTCCTTCAACATTCTCTGTACATTAATGTTTTAATAGGATACCTTTGTACGAACTGCAAAAATCATGCGGAGAAAAAGTTGAAACCAAGCAGCTGTTTTGAATCATTCGGTAAACGATTTTATTCCAAAAGAAGAAAATCTAATTACATTTTTTTTATTAAATATTCATTTTTTAAAGAATTCTTATAAAGCATTTGCGTTGCACCAGTTGGTTGCGTATGTCATTTATTAGAACGTAGAAAGAGGAAAACATATGGTGCTGCTAATTACAATTTATTAAAAATGAGTTAAAATAGTATAAGTATTTTAATTGGTAATTTAATTATTGAATCATTTATACGTGTAGTGATAAGACTACTTTCATCGGCTCTCTCTTTAAAAGAATTAAATCCATCCTAACACAATACGGGTTCATTGCTACATGGCAATAAATAGATACCATTCCTTTTAATGTAATTCATGTAAGTACATTCGTGAACTAATTGCAAATTGATCTACAATTAAATTACCAATGACATTTAGTGGACTTTAGAAGACTTACCATTCCCAAGAAATAGGTCGAATGAGGATTTTCGGGGACAATAGAGGCTACAAAACCATCAATAGAACCTAATTTTCTAAAACAATTCCACATTTCCATTTATTTTAACACGAAATCGACCGATTCTTGAACCTTTGCTGATTCTGTATTATGCCTGCGTCGTGGGGCAGCGCATCGGGAGCGCAATTAGTCAACTTTACGAAGTCCGAATAACAAAAGCATATCCGAATTGCCCGTGATGCAAGAAAGGTTTGCTAGCCACGGGGTTATTTCTGAACGTGCCGAAAATGCTTCGCTTCTGATAGTTATTTTTAAAAAACCATCTTTTTCGCGCAGGAGCTGAGCCAGACTCTCGGAGACGACAAGAGCGTGGCGGAGCATCTGAAGCTTCCGATTCAACGCATCAACGACTATCAGCTCCTCTTAAAGGTGAGAAATCCTTATTCCTATCAGAAAATTTGCCTTTTATTCCGTTTATTATTGGCTTAGAAATCGAATTTTACATTAGGATTACGGGAGACGAGTTTCGTGAGACGTTGTAAGAGTGAAAATGCTAGGTCAAAGTATAGGAACGCGTTTCCGGCAATCGGTTTTGCCAGAATTACCGCCATTGGAGGAACGAAACGAGGTCTTGTCTGTCTTATTCGGGTTTCTGTCAACCCGGTAATGGTCTTCATTTAATTGTCAATTATGTTAGAAATTTCGCAAGGACCAGTTAAAGCAGGGGGTACTGTCCAAACTGCCGGACGTCGATCGTAAAGAACCCTCGTATTCCGTTCGTCAAAGTTTGGCAGCTACTGCTGACTGACACCTGACAATGAATGGTCCTATACAGATACTTGCAACGGAATTAGGACGGTTCACCTAAGAACAGTTTACCAGGAGACATTTCATCTAAGGAATGTTTACCGGGGGACATTTGTGCCCATAATTATGAAAGTGTTCTAAGTCAAAATTAAAAAAAAAAATGAGTTTATCAGTTATTTCACGCCATATTATTTCAAACGAAATTAATTCAATATAATTTCGAAACCAAAAATATATGACTTAGACCACTTTCATAATTATGGGCACATTTCGCCTAAGGATACTCTGTCAGGCTGACGTTTCGCCAATGGGACATTTTTCCAGCAGGGCACTTCACCTGTAGATCATTTCGTCAATGTTACTTTTCTAGAATTACATTTCCCCAATAAGTACATTCACCGTTACCAGTAAATCTGAATTCAAATATACATTCGATTTCGAGTCTGAGTTGAAATCTGTTCGTCACGTTTGCTTTATCTCACATATTTCACACGGACTTCTTAATGTTACATAAAGGGGATGTGAAAGTGACATCCGAAGAGTCAATCGTTCATGAAACTTTTCTCCGAACCGGGTGTGCTGAATCGTTTCAAACTTTACAACTTGAATGTGGAGCCTATAAAAAAGGTCCTGACACTTGAGAAATTTCATTTTTTATAAAAAATGTTAAGATTACCTATGAACAATACTTCTTAACATTACATTAAGAGGATATGAAAGTGTCATCCGAAGAGTCAATCGTTCATGAAACTTTTCTCCGAACTGGGTGCGCTGAATCGTTTCGAACTTTACAACGTAAATGTGGAGGCTATAAGGAAGGTTCTGACACTCGTGAAATTTCATTTTTCAATAAAACTTTTTTTTATTTATCACAGACTAGAACCAAAAGCACATTTTTTTTGTAAAAAATGAAATTGCACGACCATCGCGTTCTTCCTTAGAGCCTCCATAATCACGTGCTGAACTTTCAAATGATTCGGTGCACCCAGTTTGAAGAAAAGTTTTGTAAATGTTTTAGCGTTTTATATATATAAAATGACCCTTTTATATCACCTTAAAAGTCCATTTGAAAACAGGACGAAAAGCGTCCTATCTGAGAAACGTCGTAACACGTGTATATAATATGTACGTAACGTTTAAAAAGATTCAATCTTTCGGTAATTTTTTCGGAGAGAGAACAAAAGAGTTCTTATCATTGGTAAAAAGTCCTTCCGATGATACGTTCCAATGGCAAAACGTCTCCCTGGCGAATGATAACTGGCGAAATGTCCTAATGACAAAACGGCTGTCTTATAAAGTATCTCTAAGCAAAACATCCCCTGGCAAACTGTCATTAGGTGAAACGTCCGGATACTGCCAAATGTCAACGTTGGCGCCTGTTATCAAATGTTGCATTCAACAATTCGTTATTATTGTTTAATCTCGTGTGAAAAATAAATGGGTGATTTTGCGCGGGACATATTTCTTTATAATAATTTGTAGAATAGTTTTTTAATTTTCGGGAACTAAAACTGTCAAATATTCTCCTTTCTGCATAATCAACGGAAAGAACGATGATGGCTATTTAATGAAATACCGTCGAGCAATGGTCAACCGGTGTATTACATAAACGGTCAAATAATTTGTCGCCCTCGTTTATTCCAACGTGTTGAATAATTTTTCTTGGCAAATCAATTGTTCGGGCCAGTTTGATCCGATCCAAATGTTCTTCTTAAAGGCTTAATTACACGCCTGGGGTTACAAATGTATTGGGTTGGAATGCTTGCCAATTTGATTCTACTTTCGTGTGCGACAATTGCGCATAACGGAGCGTAGACGTTTGTCTTACGAGGTTAAGAATAAACTCGCTTGTTGGAAAATCTTAAAACAAATTGCGGTAAAACGGTGCGGTTTACTTCTTTTTTTTTAAATCCAGCTGAAACGTCATTAATTTTTTCACAGTAGGAATATTGAATTTCAAGTCTGTTGAATCCATTAGAAAATTCTTTGGTGAAAGATTGCGACAGAAATACAGGTAATTGCATACCTTAACAATTTTCCAGAACACGTGTTACTACGAATATCATTGCACGGAATAACGAGTATGCAAGAAGTGCAGTAACTCGATGTAAACTTTGTGGGCGAATTGAATTTTCATTTTCCTCTGAAATTCATAAACACGATTTAAGGTGATGTGAAAGTGGCATCGAAGAGGTTTAGTTTATGAAACTTTTCTTCGAAATGGGTTTACCGAATCGTTTTAAACTTTACAACGTGAATATGGAGGCTATAAGGAAGGTCCTGAAATGCATGATATTTTACTTTTTTAGAAATTTGTTTATAGGTATTGAAAAAATTTTGTACATAAAATAAAATTTCATGAGTTTCAGGACCTTCCTTATAGTCTCCCTATTCACGTTGTAAAGTTTCAAACTATTCGATAAATCGAGTTGGGAGAAAAGTTTGATAAACAAAATCTCTTCAGCGCCACTCTCACATCACCTTAAAGGGATGTTTAATGTGGCATCCGAAAGCTCAATCGTTCATAAAACTTTTCTACGAACTGAATGTCTCAAATCATTTCATACTCTAAAACGTGAATATGGAAACCCTAAGGTAGGTCCTGAAACTCTTGAAATTTCATTTTTTTTAAAGTATTTTTAAAATATCTAGAAACAAATTTGAAAAGGATTGATATTTCATGAGTTTCAGGACTTTCCTTATAATCTCCCTATTCACGTTGTAAAGTTTCAAACTATTCTATAAATCGAGTTGGGAGAAAAGTTTTATAAACGAAAGCTCATCGATGCCAGTTTCACACCACCTTAACAGTAACTCGATTATCACGGGATAATCTTCCAGATAAACTGATTTTCTGCAAATATTTCTGGGAAAACTGTTAATATCGGGGAAAATAATGATTTACTGTTTCATTAGTCTGAAGGGAAAGTCGGTCTATGGGAGATCGTGACAGAAATATAGCGCAACAACTGCATTTCTTGACAGCTTTCCAGGACACGAGTTACCGTCTGCCGGATACTAGACGGTCCACTGCACTCAGAAACGATACCGAACAGGAGTCTTTTGTTCACATTTTAATTTAGGCTATTTGATTCTAACATTTACATGAGAAATACATCCACAGGCTCTAACGCTCAGCTAAAATTATTTTAAGCCATTGTAGTCGAGACAATGAATGATCCATTCCGGCGGAAACGCTCAATGCATCATTAAGGCATTACAAATTGACTAACGGATTAAAAAAAAGTTACAGTTTAACAATGGTTAAATTTGCAGTTAACAAAATGAACTGTAACAAATTTAACCGAAGACATTGGTCCAAGAAAGTAGTATCGATAGTATTTATTGGAAGTAGGAATGCTTTTTCATCCCTCGGTTCGATATTTCTCTTGTTGATCTATTTACCAATGTTACGACATATATGTATTTGCAGAGAATTTATGAAGTGGTAATTGAAAAATGTCAATTTACATCGGAATAGCACTCTGCTAAAATTATTATGAACGACTGTAGTCGAGACAATGAATGATCCGTTTCGGCAGAAACGCTCAGTGCATCATTAAGGTATTACAAATAAATTAACGGATTTTTAAAAGTGTGTAGTTTAATGAAGGTTAAATTTGCAGTTAACGAAATTAACTGTATCAAATTTAATCGAAGAAATTTGTCAAGGAAAGTAGTATCGATAGTATCTATTTGAAGTAGGAATGCTTTTTCATCCCTCGGTTCAATATTTCTCTCATTGATCTTTTTGCCAATGTTACGACATTTATGTATTTGCAGAGAATTTATGTGGTGGTTATTGAAAAATGTCAAATTTCGTCGGAATAGCAGGGCGTGGGACACGTCTGACCTATATTTTCCTGAATTCTAATGCGACCAACGAAAATAACGTGGCGTTCGTCCATGTCTTGAATTCGGTCTTTCGTTGAGCTCAATTAATATTGCGCGATTGAATCTTAATATTCCGTCGTAATTAATTATCCAACTCGTGACGTGAGGAAAGTCAAGCGACGAACTAAATTATTTCGAAATATATGATTAACGATTCATATTTTAATACGTTTACGAAAATAGCCTCACAGGGTAGAACCTTGAAGTTACTCCAACGAGACGTTGAATTAATATACTCTGATGTGTGAAAAAGCAGAAAATGTTTGCAAATGAAGCACAGATCTGAAAATAAAATATATGGTTAACGATTTATATTTTAATACATTTACGAAAATAGTTTAAAGTTACTCCAGCGAGACGTTGAATTAATATACTCTGATGTGTGAAGAAACAGAAAACGTTTGCAAACGAAGCACAAATCTGAAAATAAAATATATGATTAACGATTTATATTTTAATACGTTTACGAAAATAGCCTCACAGGGTAGAACCTTGAAGTTACTCCAACGAGACGTTGAATTAATATACTTTGAAGTGTGAAAAAGCAGAAAACGTTTGCAAACAAAGCGCAGATCTGAAAACAAAATGTATGATTAACGATTTATATTTTAATACATTTACGAAAATAGCTTAAGAGGGTAGAACCTTGAAGTTAGTCCAACGAGACGTTGAATGGAATTTGAAAATAAAATATATGATTAACGATTTGTATTTTAATACGTTTACGAAAATAGCCTCACAGGGTAGAACCTTGAAGTTACTCCAACGAGACGTTGAATTAATATACCCTGATGTGCGAAAAAGCAGAAAGTGTATTCAGACGAAGCACAGATCTGAAAATAAAATCAGCATTTTTCATGAAATTCTTATCACCAAAACATATAATCAGTGGCTACGATATGGCCTAGGAAGCGTTGCCTTTGGCTGACCGTCTAGGAATGCCGAAAGCCATTTCTCCCTGTGAAGTAGATTCCGATGTAGAAGACTCGAGGCACCCAAAAACAGAATACTACTGTTCTGGCGCCATTCCTATTAAGTGATCCGAAGCCATTCTTGGAACGAGAGTGTTAAATTCTCAGTGCAACAAAAACAAATGTCAAGCACAATGAAGTCAATTATAATTATACGGAAGCAGTAGATGATGTGCGATCATTTATTGCTAAGTTTGATTTACCCTCCTTTACGTGTTCTCCCGTGGTTGTGAAATCATGTCAGTTGTAAAAAAAAAGAAAAAGAGGAAACCGAGGCATAACGACATTCGGCAGTTTTGTACTTGTAGCGCCTGAACTATGTGTATGCAAATGAGCTGGTGTGGGAACGAGTGGGCGCCGTACGGATTTAGCGTGCTGAAAATGGGTCATCTTCGTGGTGGGCTACCCTGGTCGATGGTTCTTGGTCAGTCGGAAAGAAAATACGAAATCCCGCCATCGAAATCGCAATTTTGATCGAGGGGCATATTTTAGTTAGGAAAATTCTCAGATTCNAAATTAAAAAATGTAATTTCTATGTATGTTTATAAATTATTAAGGGGCTATACCACGGTGAACGTCGAAAAAATTACACATTTCTGATTGGCATTCGAAGCTGGGGCAAAAGCAATATTATTTGGCAGAAATGATTTATTTCTTATTCTTTGGAATTGTTCAAATAAATGTTCATGTTTTCAGGAGCTGGTGAAGTATTCGAACCGATTAGGTGAAAATTGCGACGACCTCCAGAAAGCTTTGGAGTTGATGCTAGGTATTCCTCACAGGGCAACCGATAATAAGTTCATCAGCAATATCGAAGGATATAAGGGCAATATCCACAAACTAGGACGACTACTCAGACACGTTAGTATCGCTGTAATTTAAATGCGAGGAACAAGACGTGGAAGACTTTGATAATAATATACGTACACTGAGAAAAATTTGGTTACATTAATAATTTTTAACTAGTTTACACAGTTCAAAAAAGACGCAGATACATTTTTATAGTAAAATTAAATTTTTAATTTAAGTAGGAAATCTAGTAACGATAACTATATTTTTTTATCTTTTGGGAGGAGTAAAATGAATTATTCTACGTTTACTATACTTCCCTAGAAAGTATAAAAAAACTAATTTTTATATTGTAAACATTTATATTATACATGCGTATATTTTACATGCCCAGATGGTATTATTAACTAGTGCGAATAGTTTTGTTATTTATTAAATCTTTTTTCAAAAATAATTTTTTGTAATTCTAGACGTTTATTAAACTTATTATGTTTGATCTGTCGGCATTCTTGCACGTCTTAACGTTAATTAGGGATGGATTAGGGTCTTATATGCAAACGGGTGATTTTTATCATTTGCAAGAAAGCCTTGCCATCTATCGGTGCTGTCAAAACTAACATCAACAAAGTTTTTCGAAGTGTTTAGATTAAATTGGAAGTTGATATAACCAAACCTCAATGGTAAACTGTTGTATGAGTAATATTATTGTAGTTGGTGAAAGTAGTAACTTACAATATTTTACAATATTTGAAAGCTAACTTAACCATTCCAAAGTAGTACAAAACTTCACTATAAACATTGTTACCGTTACTATCAAATTTGTTCAAAATCCAGTAGGATGCTCAACTATTAAAAAATAGTTGAAGATACTAATTTATAGTAGATCAAACAATACATTGCATTTCTTTAAAAAAATGGCTTTAATAGCGTTAAATTGTTCAGTTTACCAACTCTTTGTTTCTTAATATATATTTTGATTTGCAGGAATGGTTCACTATTATCGATAAGGAAGAAAGAACAAAAGAGAGATACTTGTTTTTGTTTAAAGCACGGATTCTTGTCTGCAAAGTTAGGCGCATCAGCGAAGATCGATCGGTCTTCGTCCTCAAAGATATCATTCGAGTAAGTACTTGAGTACAGTGGGTGGTACAAGAACTGGGTACCAACCTGCAATTAAAACAGACCAGACAATTTTTTACTAAGTATGAAATTTAAGACGATATGGAAGAGTGCAGTCTATATATACCTGGGAAGTCAAATCGTTGGGAAAACTATTCTCCGATTCGTTTCAAATGTTACCACGTGAATATGGAGGTTCTAAAGTAGGTCCTAAAACTCACGAAGTTTCATTTTTCATCGAAAATTGATTTATTTATCATGGACTAGAACCAACATGGCGTGGTCCGTTTTCGATGTTTCACGCTTCCTGGAGGCTTGGAATCGAAAATGAGAAAAGGGTTTCAGGACCTACCTCGAACAATTTAGAATACCGAGAAAATGGAATATTACAGAGTCAGATGGGACAATATGGAAAATACTTTCACCAACGATTGCAAGAAAATGCTGGCTTGTCTCGGGATAAACACATGTTTTTGGAGCAAAAATTTAGTTGCAGCTAAACGTCACAGATGGCGACGTTGGTCCTAAATAATCGTTGGAATAATGAATTCACGAGATTTCGACAGTTTTACGTCGATGTCTTCATCATTATTTTACTGAAATGACATATGAAACGCTTCAATTCGTACAATTATTAACGTAGACGGTAAAAGTCTTCAACATAAATGTCGGTAACGGGACGCGTCATGTTTATAGTTACCACTTGAGTATTCAAAATGACGTTACCACCAAAAAGGGTATAGACGAATCTCAATTTATCGACTTCGAGTAAATTTCTCAACGTCTTTCATATCATCTTAACTGGTTTCAATTATCGGCGGGAATTATTCAGAGTCAAAATGAAATAAAAGCTGAATGTTAAATGAAAATAATGCGTACAATTATTTTTTCCTTTAGTTGCCGGAAGTGGAAGTTCAAGATCACCCGGAGGACCAACGAAGTTTCGAGTTACACTGTCCAAGTGTTCCAGGATTTCCGATTATATTAGTCGCCCACAAGGATACCGTAAAGTCTTATTGGTTGAAGGAAATTCGCCAATATTCGAGCGACGTCGTAGCTCTCGCCGAGCACGCTGCCGACGATTTGCAGCTGACCGAGGAGGCGCCGGATATTACAGAGGACTTCAAGCCCCAACCAAAATCAGAATTACCGAGGTTTCAACCACCTAAACCAGGAGTGCAGAACCCTGAACCTCCTAAAGCGGAGCTGACGAAAATCGAGCCCAAGAAGGCCGAACCACCGAAGCCTGTAAATGTAGTCACCCCTAAGCCTGAACTTCCAAAAGCTGCACCCCATCTTCCAGTCGAAAAAGAAGCTGCCAAAGTCGAGGAAGTTAAAGTTCCAGAAAAGAGGAAAGACGAGACCGTTAGAGCAGAGGATATACAGACGAAGAGAGTTAAAGTTGAAGAAGAAGGCCAAGCCATGGCGGGACGTTACACATCAAGTAGATTTAGTGCCTCGTCGCAGGTCATCGAAGGTATGACGCCATTATTTAACTTTCATTGTTTAAGGTGATATGAAAGAGTCAGCTTATATATATCTGAGAAGTCAAATCGTTGGTGAAAGTATTCTCCTAATTGGGTGTACCGATTCATTTCAAATTTTACCATGTGAATATGGAGGTCCTAAAGTAGGTTCTGAAACTCATGAAATTTCATTTTTCATCCAAAATTTATTTACTTATCATGGACTGGAATCAACATGGCGGGGCCTGGGCACGTTTTCGATGTTTTACGTTTCTTGGAGGCATAGAGTTAAAAATGTAGAGTTTCAGGACCTAGCTCAAACAATGTAGAATACCATACAAATGTAACATTACAGAGTCAGATGGGAAAATATGGAGAATACTGTCACCAACGATTGCAAGGGAATGCTGGTTTGTCCCGGGGCTCACGCGTGTTTTTAGAGTCATAATTTAGTTTCAGCTGAACGTCATAGATGGCGACCTTGGTCCTGAACACTCGTTAGAATAATTAATTCACGGGATTTCACCAGTTTTGCATCGATCTTTTTGTCATTCCTTTACCGTGATGACATATGGAACGCTTCAGTTCGTATAAATATCAACATAGACTGTAAAAGACTTCAACATAAATATAAATGTCGGTAACGAGACGCGCCAACATATGTTACCACTTGAGTATTCAAAACGGCATTACCACCGAAAGGGTTATGAATCAATTTTATTTTACCGGCGTCGACTAATATTTCTCAGCGCTTTTTATATCACCTTAAGGATCCGTATTTTCTTTTCATTTAAGTACTTATCAGTGATTTTAGATATTATTAATTAGTGTAGTAAATGTTGCGTCGTCGCTTGGCCGGGCGTTCATGTCTCCCTGGTTGAACGTTGCAATTTCGCTTTGTACGTTGTAACAGTAACGAATGTTCATTATCGCGTTAGGGGATGGAACGAGGGAAGCCGGATTTTGATAGTACACTGTTAAAAAAATTCATAAAGTTCATATACTTTTAGTACATAAGGTTGCAGTAAAATTCTAAATTTGATGTCTTAATAGTGAATTAGTATACATTTATTATAAAATTCTAAGTAAATTTACAATTTTATAAAACCGTGTTGAAATTTTGTAAAATTCCGTAGAAAAATTATAAATTTGATATTCTAAAATCACGCAATGTTTGCAAATGTTTTAGATGAGTTTTTTACTTTACTATCGTTTACCTAAGTTTATTTTTAAACAAATTTAATCGAAAGATGACAAGTATCGGCGGTACTGGCGGAGAAGCATTGTAGCGACATTCTTGAGTCCGAGAAATATTTAAATAATATTTAAAAAATTCTTACAATCAATAGAAAGCTCCGGTAGTATCGTGGACAATATACCTGTTACTTTTCCATGAGTTCTGGGTTCAATATCACGATAATTGCAAAAAGATTTTTTTCGGCGTTTAAAGTAGGGCTGTCTTTAAAATTGTCCTCGAACGTGCCCGGAACATATGTCAAATTTGTTTGTCTGCAGAAAAAACGTTTAATATCAAGATCAACACATATTTATAACATATATTATAAGTTTATTACACATATGTACTAAATTTATGATATACGTTATACATTTTATTTGAAAATATGTTATAAAATTGTAATATCATTTTTAACAGTGTACCTATTATATTGAGTATTCCTACTGAAATTTTATAACTTTTATTACCGAAAGCCAAAATGATTTCGGTCAACGTAAAGCCAAAGTCCGAGCTTCATGGGAGCTTTCGTAAACTAACGCTTTTTTTACTAACACCCGTAGAGTATTCCTCGATATCGAGCAGTCGCAGTGCTATGTCTTCCTGTGGAGAAACATCGGTATCAACGGCGGCGTCGAAGACTTCCTCTGCAGCTTATGGCTCCGAAAGAATATCGGAGAGCTTAAGTTCCTATCAAACGGCCGTCGAAGGTGAGATCTCCGCATCTGAAACGAGGTCTACAAAAATTGCGGTAACTTCCGGCGAAGCTGGGAGACCAATCTTTGAGAAGACTATCGAGGGCTGCAACGTTGAACGTGAGTATAAGTAGCAACAAGAAAAGAGAAATTAAATATTCTGATGATGTGAAAGAAATTTGTAAATGGTCTAATGTTGATATCAAATTTAAAATCCGTTTAAGAGGATGTGAAAGTACCGTCAAAGTGGTTTATGAAACTTTTCTCTGAATTGAATGTACCGAATGGTTTCAAACTTCACAGTGTGAATATGGAGGCTATAAGGGAGGTCCTGACACCCATAAAATTTCAATTTTTTCAAAATTTGTTCGTTGATATTTTCCAAATTTTTTATAAATAATGAAATTTCATGAGTGTCAGAATCTTCCTTATGGTCTTCATATTCACGTTGTAAAATTTGAAACGATTCGGTACACCAAGTTCGCAGAAAAGTTTCATGAACGATTGAGCTTTCGGATGCCACTATCACATCCCCTTAAGGGGATGTCAATCGTTCATGAAATTTTTCTCTGAATTGGATTGTTGCTTCAAATTTTATTACGTAAATGAAGAGACCCTAAGGTAGGTCCTGAAACTCTCGAAATTTCGTTTGTTATTAAAATTGTTGAAAATCGGTATAAACAAATTATCTTTAAATTGAAATTTCATGGGTTTCAGGACCTTCCTTATAGCCTCCATATTCATATTGTCAAGTTTGAGACAATTTAATACAAGTAGTTCGGAGAAAAGTTTCATAAACGATACCTCTTTCACGCTACTTTCATGTCCCCTAAGGGGATTTTAAATTTGGTTCCCTTAAGGGGATGTGAAAGTGGCATCCGAAGAGCCAATCGTTCATGAAACTTTTCTTCGAACTGGGTGTACCGAATCGTTTCAAATTTTACAACGTGAACATGGAGACTATAAAGAAGGTTCTGACACTTATGAAATTTCAGTTATTATAAAAAATATTGAAAATATCTATAAACAAACTGTTAGGAAATTGAAATTTCATGACTATCAGGGCCTTCCTTATAGCTTTCATGTTCATATTTTTATGTTTGGAACGATTCGGTACCCCCAGTTCGATGAAAAGTTTCATAACCGTGACCTCTTTGATGTCACTTTCACATCGCTATAAAAACCAATTAGACTGTTCTCTTCTACAGAAACATGTATGTTACACGTTCCTAGATCTATTGTTAGAGATGCAAGTTAGGAAAATTTAAATCCTTTGATTGTTGTCGAAGTACTATCTTAAAACTGTAAATGGTTCCGGCAATGTTATACAATTTCTTCGTGCAAAATGTAGGACAATGACATTTGTTAAAGCTAAGTTAAACATCGCCACATGTCAACTTTTCATATTTTCGGGCAGTACTCTTTAAGGAATATCGCAGATAAATATCAGGTATGTGTTAATTATCTCTAAAGCACATTACTACTAGAAATACAGGAACGATGTCGAAAAATCGCAGGTTAATTGTGCACAGGTAATACGTAAAATTAAGCCGGTGATGACATCAAAGCATTCATTGTTGTAGCAGTAGCTTACTGTGCAAACGGAACAGAAAGACGTAATATTTTTTTTTTAATTTACTGTTCCAGCGATTCGAGCATGTCAAAAGGCTTTGATACACGCAATAGGTAAAGTGGTTGTAGCGTGATTCGTCTCTTGATGTTGCTCGCCATTTTGTGCCTTTCCTTCACGTTGACTATTTTCTTTATTTCCTGTCTTGATCATAGAATGGCACGATTGTTATCCTGGAACGTTTCGTCCTGATTAGAAGTGATGTGTTTCCCTGTCAATCTCGAAAGTTGTGCTTGATTATGCCCGATCATCGCGTGTTGTAATAATCGCACAATGTCTTCAAGTTCCTCAAAGTTAGGTGTCGACTGACTATTGCTGAAACGCGAAAGTTAAAATACACTAAATAAATAATGATGGCTGAACATGCCAAATTTCACCGGTTACCTGGGCATGAAGTTTAATACTTATCAAGTTAACTCTCTTATCAGTCGGTATCATTCCTCTCATTCGGTGGATGAAACAAAGATTAGTCAACGTTTTGTGTGAATAGAAACGTACAAATTACACGAATATAAAGAAAAATCACTATAGTATAATTTTGTAAGGAACTGAACAATTTATGTGATTTTGCTCCATGCCTATAAAAGAACGTGAATCGATTTTGCGATAATATATTTTTTATTATACAGTTTGACGTCCTATTGAATCCCATTTTGGTATGCAATTTTCAGTCCTGAATGTCGATTGATACCCCTCATACATTTCGCAATTATTCCTATCAACCTCCAGGTCCTCAAGGAAATTTAGAAATTGTTCTTGATAATTTCTGTGACTTTTGCTATTGTTAACTTCTTTTAGAAGAGGTTGAGGTTCCTGAATTTTTTATCCGTCACGTTTTTGTGAATATCCAAATGTATTGTATATCTTTTTAGTCCATGAAATGCACTCTTTGGTACATAATTACATTATTATACAGCCGGGGAGAGTGCCAGTTTCGTATGCACTTTGAGGCCAACGGATTCACCGACTTCGATGCAATGGCTGAAGGACAACAAGCCCCTCGATGATAAGCTTGCAGATCGAATTACCATCAGTTACGATGAAAAGTATTATCGTCTTGTGATCCATAATGCTTTGGAATCCGATTCTGGTATTTATACTGCCAGAGCAATAAGCGGAGATGGTCAAGCGACATGTACCGCCCAACTGATCGTCCAGCAATGTAAGTCTTTCTTAAAGTGGTGGTATTAATTTCAGTTAGATGAATTATTCTAACTTTAATACCTTACAGTGACGCCGGAAGAGAGACAGGCGAGGTCGGAGGCGAACGCCCCAATCTTTTTGGTTCGCCTGAAGGATACGGAATTGTTGGAGAACACTTATCTTCGCTTCATGATAAAAATCAAGGGAGATCCGAATCCGGACTTGAAATTGTAAGTTGAAGTCGTCGTCCTCCCTGTATATAAGATTTTTATTTTTTATGTTAAGGATGAAAGCTTTATAAATTTATGTGAATTTTTTGAAGATCGGAATAAAACGTTGAATATGAATATCTGTTTGGTTTGCAGTTACAAAGACAACGTCTTGATCGATTCCACGAACGAGCGGGTGAAAGTCGTGACAGACAACGCCAGCAAGGGTTTCTACGAGCTGGTGATCGCCGATGTTCGCCATGTGGATGCTGGGAAATATTCCTGTACAGCAACGAATCGTTTCGGCGAGGCGTCCTGCGAAGCTTCGGTTACGGTGACAGAAGAGAAGACCATCTTTGCTGGCCTTCCGGAAGGTCCTTTGGAGCCTGGAGAAGAGCCCCAGTTCAAGTGGGTCCGAGACGGCGAGCCGTTTGATCCAGAAGAAAGATTTAAAGTTCTGTTCAACAATACAGAAGACACTTTAGCGCTGGTATTCCAGCACGTAACACCCGAAGATGCTGGATTATATACTTGCGTGGCTCAAACTAGCACTGGAAACATCAGCTGCAGTGCCGAGCTGACGGTTCAGGGAGCCGTGAAGCAGCTGCTAAAGGAACCTGCTAAACCAATTTTACAGACTGAGGCTAGGCAGTCCGAGGTCAGTGCAGGAGGGTCGGCCATGCTTGATTTGCAAGTCAAAGGTTTCCCCAAACCAGACGTGAAATGGTCTAAAGACGGCCAAGAGATCGTTGCCGGTGGTAGAATCAAGTATCTTTGGGAAGATGAGGAATCGGTGTCTTTGGTGATAAAGAATGTCACTGCTCAAGACGCAGGCACGTACACCATTATGGCGAAGAACGAGTTAGGTCAAGACAGCACCCAAATAGAGTTGATCGTTAAGTCCGCGCCCAAGATCACCAAGAAGATGCAGGACACCATTGCCATGACCGAGGAAACCCTGACCATGACCGTCCAGGTCGAGGCCTCCCCAGCTCCAGACGTCACGTGGTACAAAGATGGTCAGCTGATTTCAGAGTCAGATAGGATAATTATCACCAAGGAGCAGAACAACGCCTACAAGATCGAAATAAGGGAAGTACGGTTAGAAGACGCCGGATCTTACTCCATAGTCGCGAAGAATGAGATCAACCAGACTTCCGACTTCTGGAACCTGACCGTTCGATGCCCACCAAAGATCAAAAGGAAATTGGGCGAGCCGAAGGTGATCGACGAAGGTGACAGCTTGACGCTGTTAATAGAGGTCGAGAGCGAAACCGAACCTTCCGTAACGTGGTACAAGGGCGAAGAAGTTCTGTCGGAGGATACTCGCATCCAGATGGTTCGCGAGGGCGAGAAATTTATGCTAAAGATCACCGGCACCGTGGGCATCGATTCTTCGGTGTACAGAGCCGAGGTCAGCAACAAGCATGGGTCCAGTGTCGATCAGACGGAAGTCAAGGTGCGAAGCGCACCTCGTTTCAGGACCAAACTGGCCGATACCACTGCCAAAGAAGGGGAGACCAACCTGGAATTAGTCGTGGAGATCGATGGGTTCCCAAAACCTACCGTTCGCTGGTTCCTCGGAGATGTAGAAATCACGGAGACGAGAAAGGAATTCACGACCACCGAAGAAGGGGACAATTATAAACTGATCATCAGTAATGTCAAAAGAGATCTCACTGGCAAGTACACCTGCAAGGTGAAGAACGATTTCGGAGCAATTGAGACTAGCTCGAATCTAGTCGTCTACACGAAGCCAAAGATCGCGAAGAAGCTTAGCGATCAGAGGATCAAGGAAGGGGACACCTTGAAACTGAAAGTCGAGGTCTCCGGAACCCCTGAACCCGAAGTCAAGTGGTTCAAGGATGGCCAAGAGGTGACTGCTGACGCAAGGATTAAAATCACCAGGGACAGCAAACGCAAAGAAAGCTATGATCTTACTTTGAACCTCGTTAAAGGTTCCGATGGTGGAGTCTATGAGGTCCGGGCTGAAAATACTATGGGGGTTGTCACCAGCAAGAGCAAGGTTACCGTTCAGAGTGAGTACATCTCCGTTACATGGATTCTTTACTTTACTTACAGATGATATTACGAATCAAATTTTCGCTCGACAAACAGGGACATTGACTTTTGACCACATTAACCTCCTGATATACAAAGACATCTCGGATACATCATGTGTTCATTTTACCATTGTTAACGTTGATGTCCCAAAGACGAACGGGCTATTCGAGTGATTCCAATATTCAGTTGAAAAATTAATAGTACCTTTCGGTCACATCGAACTTCATTTAATTCGTATGTCAAGAGGTTAATTCTTATACATCATTATTTAAAATACAGAAGAGAGTTAATTATTTCTTGCGCCATAGAGTCAGTGTCTCTGCCCAAATGATACGAAATAGAGTAACTTTGTACCCCGATGAAAATAATGATTCGCAAATTCTAGTAAAGCTCGTTTGATAGTTTTCGAGATCCCTAGCAAGATTGGCATAAGCTATTGTAATTAGTCGTCTTCCAGTGAGTACAAGAATGGAGAACCCCCAGTGTTTTACGAGCTTTCGATACCCAGAAGTACAAGAATGCCTTCCATAAGTCAATTGAAAGATTCATGGACAGTCGTTGTCAGACTTTGTCATTCCCAGATTTTGCTGTTTTTCCCCTAAAAGAGTTTCCAGAAAACAAACTCGCCTTTGTGGAACCCTGTATCAGTTTTAACCCCTGCAAAACTTGTCCTTGGAGAAGAATAGATTCCCTATAGTAATATTTTACATATACGTACACTTTCAAACATTACACTGTATTTAATTTCCATGGTTCCGGAACCCTAAGTAAGTAAGCAGAAATTAAGAGAAATGGCGTTTAGAGTGATTATATACTTCCATAGCAAAAACTGAAGAGGTAGTCGAAGAAAAGCAGGAACTAAAGAAGGAGACCGTAGAGAAGGTTGAAGTCCTTGAAGAAGAGACGACACCGAAGAAATCGAAAGAGAACGGTGCCATTTCAAAGAAACAACGAGCAGAAGAGTCCACCGATGAAGGTAAAAATTGTTTAGTCGGCAACACGTAAGAGTAGCATGAAAATCGATTAAGTAAGTGACTTTTAAAAATCAGGACAAGTTGAATAAAGGGGTATATGCAGTTGTCATAGCCGAAATTCAAGAATTTTTTTTCGTAACTAAAATGCATTTCTTAATCGAAAACAGAGCGTTATTTCATAGTACAATTATTGAACTCAATATATAATTTTTTTTGTCAAGATATATTAAAAAATTGCCGAGGTACAGCAATTATCCGAAAAAGTTTTTTTTTTTTGCGGGGACCACGATATCTCAAAAAGTATTTCACTGATCGACTTCAAATTTTTAGGGCTCATTTTACACGTGGAGGACTGCTGAATGAACGAAGGATTTTTCGAAATTCCGATTTTTACCAAAATGGCAGGGATTTTACTAAAAAATCACATTTTTCGTCTTATAACATTTTCGTTTTTCCTTAATAAAACAGCAAGTTTTCATAGAAAAAAAGAATCCTTAGTTGATTCACCAGTCCTCTATGCGTAGAATGAGCCCTAAAAATTTGAAGCCGATCGGTGAAATACTCTTCATGACAAAAAACAATGATATATTAAGTTCAATAATTGTACTATGAAATCACGCTCTGTTTTCGATTAAAAAATGCATTTAAATTATGAAAAAAAATGCTTGAATTTCGCCTACGACAACTGCATATGACCTCCTAAGGTGATAAAGTGAAAACGCTTCTAACTACTCGGCTCTTGATCGTCTTCGACAGCACCTGCTGTATTTTTATTAAATATTTTAAGTGCCAGTCATTTGTATTCCGCAAAGGCAAGACAGTACTCTAATCAGAGCTTTTAATGGCTAACGGGACCATCGCTTAAACTCAGTAGTTCTAGTAGATGTCTACTAAATTCAGGTCGAGTCACCCTGGAGAAACAGAGCATCCAGGTTGTAAAAGGGGACACGGCCGACACGGTGACAATTTCTGTGAATTCAACGACTACTCACGAGGCGGTAATGTCAGGTAATGGTGTACAGACACAAAACACCGCAAAAACAGCCCGAACACCCAGGCAAATATCACGGGAGTTGGAATGATTCCGTAAATCAATGTAGAGTACACTTTGGCTATTCGATATAATGGTAGAAGACATAAGTAATAAAATTAACTGTGCCGGAATTCCATCTTAAAACATAAATTGTAATTACGGAATCATTTGAACGACCGCCTACACGCGATCGGCACACCCACCGAGGTTGATAAATAGTCAATCGAATTATCTAATTATCTAATTCGGCTTTCGTTCGAGCCGCTCCTTAGCTTGAATTACTCGCCGTTGATCGATCTTCCATATAGATCGTGAATCGATCCTTGCTTCGCAGCTTAGCCTATCTAGACGTGCATTTCGGGATTGTGATAAGGCAGACCCTTCACAGGTCCCGACGAGAGACACATGATCAGCAAGATGACCACGACGAAGGTAGAATGCCAGGAGCTAGGGTCCGAAGGGCCCAAGGTCGAAGAGATCACGTCCTACAGCTACACGGTGCAGGAAGAGAGCTGCGAAAGACCGCAAAACGGAGTCCTCGTGGAAGAATTCTCCGAGGATGAGAACAACAGAGCGAAACTTCCAGTGAATCGAGGAGTCTCCATCGTCTCCGTCTCCGATGACGAGTCCACCTTAAAAGCCATCTCGAGGGACGTCAGCGACACCGACATTCAAAATGCTGATCTCTTTGAGATCCACAAGATGACCAATGGAACCTGTGACGATGCCGAGGTCAAATCCGTTGAAGAGGAGGTCCTGGAGATCGTCAAACCTCAGAAAGCTGTCAGGTTGGCGGAGACTATAATCGAAGAGGGCTCAGTGGACGAATCCCACTCCGAGATCCAGCCTAAGCAAACCGAAATTTCCAAAGAACCCCAGAAAGCCACCCTAGAGGAAAGCAAATTGTCCAGACAAAATTCGAAATTGGATCGAGTGGACTCTATCGAAGCTACGAAACCGACCGTCAGGAGACTTTCCAGGGAAAACTCCAGGCAAGGAATCTTGACGAGTGAAGACGACGCGATGGATCCCGCGATGGAGGATCTTTTGAACCGTGTTAAGAGACAACGCAGTGTCTTGGATGATATCCTGGATAAAGAGGAGGAAAGAGAGAGGAGGAAGTCAGGTAAGATAGACTCCGAAAGGAGTCTGATCACAGGAGGAGTCGTGGCTGTTAAGAATTTGAGCTCTCTTATCTGTTGGCTGCTTTTGTGCATTGTAAACAGAAGACGATGTGGAATTGATGGAAAGAGGCTGAATACCTCGTCGTTTTGATTTTCAGGCCTTGAGAAAACATCAATGAGGATTCCGCTTCTTGATCCGTTCAGTTCTTCGGCTTAAGCTCTGTTATTTGTCACATAGCAAATTAACGCAGCTACGTTGCGTAGATGTGGCAAATTAATATATGATCTTTTCCAGCGAGATAAGTTGACTGCATATTGCATCGCTTTGAGCGCATTTCGAACAATATTGGCACGTGACAATTGAATTACAGATCATTACACTATACCACCTTTAATATCCGTTCTTGTTATGCTTTTACTGATATCCTAAATGATCTGCACCCCTGCCCTCCCATTTCAATTTATTTATTTTAATTTCGTAACAAGGTAGACCTAAGAGGAAACTGTAACAACAATTTCATTCCCTTTTTCGCATGCAGTAAAACCGTGCATGGCTTGCACACACAAACGAAATCAGTCCGGTTATCCTGTGATCCATTCGTCGATATTTGCAAGGTAAGGCAAGGTTTTAATAACGTTAAAAGATAAAGGAAAAAAACCCCGATTAAAAGAACTTTTAACCTTCCGTGCGTCTGGTAGGATCCACTAAACCCCGATTAAAATTTCCCGAGGTGTGGTATGCAAATTACGCGAGTTTTCATTTGCAAATTACGCCTCTAGTTCTGTTGTGGTTTTCAATAGTTGTCGTTAACGACGTAAGCTAGTACTAACTGCAGCGAATTACTCGCGTGTCGCAATTAGAGGTAAACTGGCGAACATGAATGCCTTCTCTTCATTCCCTGTTAGTACCATATTTGCAACAAAGGCAATTATGTACGCCAGGGTACAAATGCATAAAGTTATTAAGGAGTTTACCAAACCCCATCAGGCGGACGCGTTATCGAGGTGGTAAATAAATCAAATGTATTTTTAGTCTTTCTTTTGATTTTTTTAATATAAACCACATTATTGTATTATTATATACAATCGACATACATGCCAGGATTGTAAGGAAATAGCAAACTCGTTGATGGAAGAAAATAATAATTCTAATGAAGATGACTTTTTCGACTCTGAGAGATGAAAAATATGAGTACGCAATCTTATTCAGATACCAAACAGAAAGTAACTAGTTCAGAAGATATATTTAATTCATTAATTTTTATGACTCTTTATATCATTTTTAAATAATCCCGACAGTATTGTCATAAATTATAACATTTATATAATAAATGTTGCAATGATTATTACTGTGATCCTAATAGAGAAGTAATGATTAAGTAGTCATGCGGCCAAATGACTGATTTCTGGTATATAAAATTTAAGAATCATTTTATTAGAAACAGTTGATAGTTAAAGAGTATTTACTTCGAGCTAAATTTTTTATTTCTTAAGGAGATTAACCTAGAGGATACATTTATATTATATTTAGTCATTTACTGACACGTTAAGAGATTATAGTGACATTTACTATTGGGACTTACGGGACCCCACCAGATGTAGAATGTGATAAGTGTTATCAGACGCATGGACGGTTAAATAGTATAGAATATGGTGATTTGGAACTAACATTTGTTTCCAATTACTCATCTTTAAAGGAATCTTTAATTTAGCGAAGTTTCGTCGGTAACTGAAATTCCCAGACAGCACGTCCACCGTAAAGGTGACAAAAAGCTGACTTTTTCAAATAATCTTATCGACATAACGAAGAGATATTTAAAAGATGTATAACGTTACATTTCACTAAATACAGCAGACTAAAAGATGTCACTGGATGGAAGTCTAATAAAGGAAGAGAAAAGCTTTTTCTAAGATGTCAGAAAGTTAATGGAAGGTGACAGTGTCAGCGCCATTTTGTTTAAATGCGGTTTTACGGACGAATATAATGTAAAAATTATATCACTACGTTTTTATTGAAAGAAAAACTCAATTTCTGATTCAGAAGGATCGCTATCGTTTACCTTATTTTGTTTCTTGCTATTGGTATAATAAGAGAAATTTTTGAAAAGATGTTTCAATTTTGTGATCTTTTAATCTTGACTGAAAGATAACTATCCACCAAACACGGTTACGTAACAATAATATAACCGTTACATAACGTTTGTAACGTGTAATGTAACATACATGTAACATATAAGTAAGATTTGTATTGCTATTTCCTCTGCTATATAACACTGTTAAAAAACGAATAATGTAACGTATACATAACATATCGATAACATGTTATATGTTATATAACATGAATGGATGAATAGTAACATGTTATATATTATATATTATATAACATGTTACTATTATATAACTGCAATGTATACAAGTTTGTAACAATGTTACCGAACGGTAATAATTCCACGTTGTATGATATTAATGTATCTTTTGAATAACATTCGTTATATAACATGTTATTCCAGTGTTATGCTATTGTAACATAGTGTTTGGTGGGTAATCGTCAACTTTTAGACTTGACTATAAAATGACAAAATCCGGGGCATAAGACATCTTTTCGTCTTCTTTTTGTTAATCATATGCTGATAAAAGATGATTTTTAGGAAAATTCGTCATCTTTTAGTTGGTATAGTTGTGCTGTCTGGGTTTCTATGCATTTTATTATTAGTTTTCCAAGTTTCTTCCGGAATGGTTACCGGTTTAATGAAAAATAAACTAAAAATATGGAGGATTTAGGTGGATGTTTTGTAAAAATCTCATTGCGACTATGATTCATGCTCATGAAACTCTTCTTCCCTGCAGCATCGCCCGAAATCCTAAGTTCCAATCTAGAGGACCAAATGATCTACGAGACTCAAAGTATGGTCTTCGAGATCAAAGCCACCGGCTTGCCGAAACCTGAGGGGAAATGGTTCAAAGATGACGAGCCGATCAAGGCTGGAGACCGATTGAAGATCGGGCACTCTGGGGAGCTCTTCCAGTTGACGCTATCGAACGCCACCCCTGAGGATTCCGGGGTCTACAAATGCATCTTCACCAACAAGATCGGAGACAAGGCTGTCGAAGGGAACCTTACGGTCGCTCCGACTTCCGAGTATCGAAAACCGAGGTTCAAGGAGCCTCTTCAGGACCTTAACGTGCCCTTCGAGGAACCTGGAGAATTCAAAGCGGTTCTTACCGCTGATCCTATTCCTGACATCGTTTGGTGAGATCCTTGATTAAACATTTTCTCACACAATGTGAATCTACAGTTTGAAATCCCGATAAAATGCAAGTAGGTGTTCGAAGGATGTAGATATTGATTATTCATTTTCAAGGTGTTACGACGGAGCTGAAATTCCAGTTGATGACGAGAAGCTACAGAGGAAATTGGAGAGCACCGAAATCGAAGATGGGTTGAACGAGTGTACTGTCACTCTTGGCATTCCCCGATGCACGGTTGAGGAATCTGGAAAGTACACCCTCAAAGCGAAAAATCATTGGGGCGAGGGTGAAGCCAGTGTAAGTTTCAGCAAATTAACCCTTTGCACTCGAAGCCCTTTTCGCCCGGACGAACCAGCAACTCGGGACGATTTTCCGCATACTTGGTGAATGTCATCCAGCTAACGTAAAATTATTTCGCATACAAATTAACGTATAAAACTATTATATTTTAATATTTCATGTATCCTTACATGTGAAAGAAGAAAATTTGTTGAATATTAAGGACCGTATCGTTCCTTTGTATGGTATTTTATATGACAATCGCCAAGATGCGTCCTCGGCTTGTCGGGGCAATCATTGCAGTAATTGTTGTTTGATGTCTTTCGCCGGGCTTATTTCGTTGAGAGTAAACCTTGCAATTCTTCTTAACTCCTGTTAGAATGACATGTAGCTTTCCATTCAATGGAATTTCGTCGAAACTATAGGTCGAAGTAGAAGCTCGATCACGAGTCTGGCGGACATCTCCTCTCAATTAGTCAACCAACGTTTTTTCCATCCTGCATCCTGCCTAAGCGGCTCTTCGTTCCTCTGCTTTTTTATCGATTTGTAATGAATATAAGAATTAACTGAACAAATCTCTAAATCCCCAAAAAATAGCTTAACACGTTCCCGCCGGCGCCAATTTTCATTTGTTTCCCCCAACGGCGGCACACAAATCTATGTCGCGCTTCATCTGGCGGCGCGCATTTCTCGCGTGTTCAGACTTGCACGCGCTTCTTGTTTCTTCAGTATTACATTGAGCGCTTACTTTGCAAATGATGTGACTCGTGCCGTTTTTTATATCCTAACCACAGATTTCTGTTAGTAAAAATAACTAAAAGGTGGTTAGAATATTTTTTTAAATTTTGCCCTTAAAAATATTTTTTTAATTTTGCCCATAACATGGATATGGAAATAAGTGATTCGTCTGATGAATGTGTAAATAGAGGCAGGAGAAACGCATCAAGATTACGAATACTTTCTTCCTCTTCAGGCGAAGATTTTGTTAACGTAAACAGCAACGTTATGGAATGTTCCTCGGGGGAAGATTTGAGTGTTGAAGTTACATTCATAATACTGAATTTTTATGTGTGTGTTATTAAGCAAAATTTATGTTCATAATACGTTATTAATTATAATTTTTATTCAAAATACACGTTTTTATGTATGTACGTTAAATTATCAGTGTCTAATAGCACAATCGAATGCGAAACACAGGTAGTACACGCCGCCCGATGATGCGTCTAGCGCGAGCCACCGGTGGTACACGCCGCCCGATGGCACAATCAAGCGCGAGCCACCGGTGGTACGCGCCGCCCGATGGCGCAATCAAGCGCGAGCCACCGGTGGTACGCGCCGGCGTGAACGTGTTAAGCCATTATTTCAAGGACTTAGAAAACAGCACGTCGAGGCACATTGGCCCGCCCGATTAACGCCGCCCATATATTTTATATAGTTTATGATAACATTGGTTTTTTTATAGTAACTTCAACCCCACCTCGTGAAATCCTTTTCACGGGAGTTATTCCAAATGGTCAAAGATGTGCCCATCCTTTTGTCTCTCCATGTTAGAACTAAAGTATTATCTTTGCGGGATGCTATCGTGGATTTCTTGTGGAATTTTTTTTATTAGACATGGCAGCTCCTCTTATTTGTTAGGATCGTCCTAGTTAAACGACAAGGGGTATGATTATACCCTTCCTGAAATTATACGAACATATATATACCTTGTTGCCGATCGGGTTTCCGCACCAAACCAAATGGTGACTGAGAGCGACCTCTCGAGTTTTTGCAAGGGACCAAGTGGTGACTGAGAGTGCAAAGGATTAAAACAAATACATTTATTGGTGGCAGAAGACATTAGTTTTGAAATTTATTTACACCTCTGGAATTAATTCCGTTTTACGTAGGCGCGCTTGGACCTTCTTCTGAGACCTGAAATCGAGGATTTCAACGACGCAAACGTCTATCCGGAGGAGATGATCCAATGGGAGGTTGTCATCAAAGCGAATCCATTGCCGGAGGTTTCATGGACGAAGAACGGCAGAGAAATCAGAACGGATGACCACTTTGAAATACAGACGGACGACGAAAACCATAAGTATACGCTTATCATTAAACGCGTTGAACTCGATGATGCAGCGACCTTCAAAGTTATTGCCAAAAACTACCTCGGAGAGGTCAGCAAAGAAGCGGTTCTGCATGTCTACAGTAAGTGTTTTAACATTGCTTTTTGTATATCTTTACAAATCTATGTTCCCGGGACAATGTAGTTTAGGGGGGAAACCACATTAGGAGGCTGGTTTTTAAGCTTTCTTTATGCATTTTTTCAAGCCGGATAAAATAATTAGAATTTGTTTATATTTTGGGATCATTTTACTAATGTTTTAAACTAAATCTCGAATTTTTTCTAAGTCGTTTCCGACGGAAATGTCCAAGTTATAAGCTGCCGTGTATCGAAGGTCGTCGTTAGAATTGGTTATTTGCGTGCCATGTGGAGGCCACAATTTCGATCTTAAAGCAAAATGGTTTATTTCCTACATTATTAACATGTATTCTAAGAATATGAACTACATTGAAACTGAAAATGTTGAAAATTGAATGTTTTAGGGGTATTTGAAAAAAATGTTTCAATTTTCACCATTTTTATTGCAATTGTTTTGCAATAAAGAACACATTAAATTATGATATCGTCTTGAAAGTTAGTTCATGTCCTTGGTAATTAAATCAAGGAAGCTCTCATCTTTTTTTATAACGATTGGTCAATAACTTTTCGACCTACAGTGCACTCAAGTCGGAAAAAAGTCGTTTCGAAAAAACCACGTTTGAAAAAAGAATTACCGAAAACTAAAAATTTGAAACAGTAATCAATTATATAAAGTAGTTACCGGTTAATTAGCGATTCCAGCACCATACAACAATCCTTCTTCTTCTTCATCAGCATCATTTAGAGCTTGCATCTCCTCTTTTAAGAGACTACCTGTGCGCCGCTGTGCGGTCGAGCGCCGAACTAAAGGGCGTTTCTTTTTGTGCTCATAGGATCGGAACAAATTCGGATTTCGTTTTGAAACTTTGGGAACATAATATGCAATAGTAATATTAACAAAAAAAAATTCGATTTTTTGGGACGTCTAATTTGTTTTCCCCCCTAAAATAAAAATCATGTCAAAGCCAGAAAGATCCGCTTATTCGAAAGAAATTACTTCAGCAATATATTTAACTAATGTCATATACGATTGTGTCGAAACGTTTTAATATCGAATTGTTATTAATATCTTTTTTTACAGCCGAAGCTCCGGCTTTTGCGAAAGGCTTGGAAAACGAGTTGGTGAACGATCAGGAAGATGTCGAACTGAAAGTTCGTGTAACTGGAGTGCCAAAGCCGAGGATCAAGTGGCTGAAGAATGGCACCGGGATCATCGAATCCGATCGTTACATCGTCGAGACTACATACGAGGGTCAAGTAGTCAGTACTCTGACGATTAAGCAATTTTGCGAGGAGGACATCTCAAGGATCAGCTGTGACGCGATGAATCCCGTCGGAAGAGACACGACATCCGGTCGCATAGACATGGCCAGGTCTCATCCATCGTTTGGTCGACCTTTGCCGAGATCGGCGGAAGTCGATGAAGGGGAACCACTCGAACTTAAAGCTAAGCTCAATGGCAGCCCGATTCCAACGGCCAAATGGTTCAGAGATGGAGAAGAAATTCAGCCTGACGATCACATTAAAATCGAGGCCCTTCGCGACGGCACGGTTAAACTCACAATCGACAAAGTCACGCCAACGGATTGTGGGGCATATAAACTGGTAATCTCTAACACCACTGGCGATGATACGGCATTATGTGCCGTTGCTGTTACACGTAAGCTATTAGCCTTATTAGTTTTTAATTCTTCGTTCCATTTAGTTATTAATTATTTACACGTAAAGTGCCACGACACTAGATTTACCGTATACGCTGCGCCGGTCTTCATGGACCGATGGGTGGCTTTTGCTTTAATTCAGTGGATGTATCACTTTATAAATCTGACTGTTTTGCAAAATTATAAGGGCAAAAATAATTTTAAGAATATTTTATTCATCTACTTCAGAGGACGAAATCCTACCGTGTCTTCTGGGGGACTGACGCTTTTTTAGCCATTCCAGCATATTTCCATTTGCTTGCTTTGTTCGTTTACATTACAGCTTTCGCATCGAGCTTATCTTATCACTCGATGGTGTTGAATGGCGTGAACGGGAAATAAAGCGAAATCGGCGTGGCACTTAACGTGTTAAGGTGAAGTGAAACACTTCGAGGAACTTGATCGACGTCGGTAAAGAAAATTTTTCTAAATACCTATGTTGCCGACGTTCGTTTATATATTGACAGCTGGGTCGAATAATATCGAGTATTGTACTAAATAGCGTCCTCCGTCTGTCGTTTTCGTACAATAATTATAAAGAAATTGAAGTAAAACTCCAGAAATCTCTGAATTCATGGTTTCTGAGGCCCTAACTGACTGCAAAGGGACCCCCTGCGCCATCTCTGATTCTTGAGTCAACTAAATTTTCACTCATATTACCATCGTTTTAGCATAGAAGCGCAGATGACACTTTTTTATCTTTATCCCGTTCAAATGTGAGTTTATCGATTACCAGCATGTTCTAAATTGTCGTACAATTATCCTGACACTTTCATTTTTGATATTAAAGTTTTCAATAATTGGTTATCGATCGAAATATAGGAGCTCGACGTCATTTTGTTTCTGGTCTGGGCTAAGTTAAACAATTTTTTCAAGAATCTAAACTTTGAAAGGGTCAGGATAATTCCTAGGTGTTCACTAATCGTGCGTCAAAGTGTCAGCCGGTTCAATCCAATACCCTTAAAAAAAAGTGTTTTATTCGAATCGACTGATTTGAGGGGGATTTCATTTCACCTTAACGTGTCAACGGAAAATAAATGTCTTACATGTTCCACCGTTAAGTAGGATTATCTCCTATTTATTAATAAATCAACTTTGCAATCATTTCAGCTTCCCCAAGAAGACCATCCTTCACGAAGTCCTTGGAGAATGCAAAAGTGGTCGTAGGCCAGCCAGTGAAGTTGGAAGCGCAGATCGTTGGATTCCCGAATCCTGAAGTGCAATGGATCAAGGATGGCGTACTCGTGAGACCAACCAAAGAGATTAACTTTGTCAATGAACCCAACGGCATGATCGGATTGTCGATAGAGAAAGCCCGTCCTGAGGACGCCGGAACATATTCGTTGATAGTATCCAATAAACTTGGCGAGATCAAGGGAGTCGCAAAAGTTGACGTCGAGGAAAAAGAAAGAAAGCCAGGTTTCCTGGCAACTCTTCATCCGTTGACAGTGGTAGAAGGGTTCCCCGCCAAAATGGAGGTGAAGGTTATTGGAAAGCCTGTGCCTACGCTCAAGTGGACGCACAACGGTGCAGAGGTTTGTTAAAAAATGAGATATTATGATCCTTTATCGAGTCTTGAAGAAAATCTTCATTTAGATAATAATTTCAACGAAGTTTCTTCTATTTAAAAATTCCCACCTCTAAATGATATCATTTTATTAACGATTTTAATATATTGCTTGACAGATTGTGCCCGATGGTCAGCACATAAAAATCGTAGAACAGCCCGATGGAACCTGTGCATTATTAATCGATAAGGTAACTCCAGATGATGCAGGTGATTACGAATTGGAAGCAATTAATTCCGAAGGGTCTGTATCCAGTAAAGGCAGCCTGCAAGTCGCAGGAAAGAGCAAATCGAACGCTCCGGAAGAAAAGGCTAGCTTCCTCGGTCCCTTGCGAGATGTGTCCGTTGAAGAAGGTCAACAGTTGGTCCTCAGTGCACCTTTCGTCGGAAATCCGATGCCGGATGTCATCTGGACCAAAGATGGACAGCCCATAGAGCCTTTGGAGAGAATCGCGAGTACCTGCGATGGGAAGAAAGTCGGACTTGAGATCAACCCTGCCGAGCTTTCGGACTCGGGCGTGTATAGTTGTCGTCTAGTTAACCCACTAGGAGAGGATAGTTCCAATGCGCAGGCCACCGTAAGAAAGGTCTACCAACCACCGAATTTCACGCAGAAATTCACGGATCTCCAACAACTCCCGACCTTCGACGCCAAGTTTCCTGCGCGGGTTTCTGGAGTTCCAATACCAACTATCTCCTGGTACTATAATGACGAACCGATTCCTACCGATTCTGAGAAATACAAGATCAAGAGAGACGGAGACGCGTGCTGTTTGTACGTAAAGGACTGCACACCTCAGGATTCTGGAAGGTACAAGTGCAAGGCTGCAAACAAAGAAGGCGAGGCTGAATGTGAGGCCACTTTAGCGGTCGTCGACAAGATGTAAGTTTTTAGAAAAATCTATTCTATAATAATTCAACGTAATTAGTTATTATCGTGTCGTGAGGTTTGTATTATTGCTTCCTGGCGTGTGCAGAGAGAAGATGCAGAAGATAGAGCCACCGTCCTTCCTGAAGAAGATCGGCGACTGCGAAGTCTATAGAAATATGACAGCCAAATTTACCGCCTGCATCACTGGATATCCAGAACCAGAGGCCGAGTGGTTCCGCGACGGAGAAAAAATCTGGCCCTCGGAGCGAATCCGCATTCAACAGGAAAGTAGCGGTCTCTTAAGGTTGACTATCGGGAATGTCAGCGAGTTGGATACTGGGAAATACAGCGTGAGGATCCGCAATCCACACGGGGAAGATATTTGTCACGCCGAAATGACTTATGACAGTACGTATGGTTACATAAATGACTGAGAATCAACCATTCAAACTCTCTAAGGAAATACAGGACGATATATTTTAACTTTACCTTTATCGCTCTAATTTCTCTGTGAAACTTCAAAGTCTATTTCCGTGAGAGACGTGTTATTTCTTAAGAAATATAAAAATTGCTATAATGTATGTAACTATTTCAGCCCTGGAACCTCGATCCAAGAAGCCCGTCGGAGACTTGTACATAGACTATGACAAGTACCACAAATCAGGAATCCCGTTACCCTTAGCGATCAAGCCGATCATCAGCCGCATGATGGATCGTCACTTGACCCTATCTTGGAAGCCATCCATACCCATTGGACCACGCATCCCTGTTACTTACCAGGTCGAGATGTGCGAATTACCTGACGGCGACTGGTTCACAGCTCGCTCCGGGATCCGCAGCTGCGTCTGCGACATCCGCAACTTGGAACCCTTCCGAGACTACAAGTTCCGCATCCGAGTGGAGAACAAGTATGGCCTTAGCGAGCCTTCTCCGTATGCGCAAACCTACCGGGCCAAACTGGAACCTGAACCGCCGAAGTTCTTCCCGTATTTGCCGCCAGGGATAGACTTCAGGCCGGAAACCAGTCCGTACTTCCCCAAGGACTTCGACATCGAGAGACCACCACACGATGGTTACGCTCAGGCTCCGAGGTTCCTCAGACAGGAGCATGACACGCAGTACGGTGTCAAAAATCACAATTGCAACCTCTTCTGGTTCGTCTACGGTTATCCGAAGCCCAAGATGTCGTACTTCTTCAATGGCATCCCGATAGAGTTCGGTGGAAGGTACGATCATACCTACACGCGAAACGGCCAAGCCACTCTCTTCATTAATAAGATGTTGGAGAGAGACGTGGGCGTTTACGAGGCCGTTGCGAAGAACGAACATGGAGAGGCCAAGCAGAAGGTTCTGCTGGAAATCGCGGAATATCCGACGTTCATCCAAAGACCCGATGAAACCATCATCATGGCCAGGCATAAGGGTAAAATCGAGGCGCGGGTCATCGGTGTGCCTTACCCGGAGTTGAAGTGGTACAAAGATTGGAAGCCACTCGCAGCTTCGTCTAGAATCAAGGTATGCATCTATCAACATTAGACACTATTAATTCATGTAAATGGGATTATTGTCATACTTTCTTTTTAGATCACCTTCTGCGAGCCCGACTTAGCTGTTCTTACGATTAATGATGCCATCACTAAGGACGAAGGTCTCTATTCTCTTAGCGCCGTTAACGTTGCTGGGTGTGTTTCGACATCCGCGATGATCCATATAGAAGAAAACGAGCAAGAATATGGATACAGAACGTACACTAAGAAACGCGACATCAGGGCGAATCCTAGATCAATGGATGAGTATTATGACCTAGGAGACGAGCTCGGCCGAGGAACTCAGGGGGTAACTTATCACGCCGTGGAAAGGTTTACAGGAAAGAACTTCGCCGCAAAAGTTATGCACGGCCGTGGAGAACTGAGGCCATTTATGCATAATGAAATGGAGATAATGAACAGTCTGAGTCACCGCAAACTCCTACGCCTTCATGATGCTTACGAGAGTGATAAGACATTCACCCTTGTGACAGAACTGTATCCTTCACTATTCATATTTACGTTATGTTCATACCTTGTTGGAGATATTTCATCTAATTGTTCCTTAACTATATATTTATTTAGAGCCGCTGGCGGTGAACTGGTTGACAACCTAACTAAGCAGCCTCACTATACCGAAGCTGATATTGCTGGGTACATTAGACAACTTTTGTTGGGTTTAGAGTACATGCATGGAAACTACTACGCCCATCTTGGTCTCACGGTAAGACCAGCAATTCCACTCCTTTATTAAACATCATTCCAATCATTTCGAGTTGAACTAATTAAACGGAGACGTATTATTCGTTTAATAAAAACGGATTAAGGGAAGTAATATGGAAAGAAACGGTTTTTATTTTCCTGTTTTTTTAATTTTCCAGCTTGGAGACCTGTTGATTTCTCACACAGGAGGTGATGATCTGAAGATAGGCGATTTTGGATTGGCTCGAAAAATTTCCCACGGAAGACTCATGACTTTGGCCTATGGCATGCCGGAGTATGTCGCACCGGAAGTGGTGAACGATGACGGTGTCAGCTTTGGGGCCGATATGTGGTCCGTTGGCGTCATAACGTACATCCTGTTGTCCGGAATGTCACCGTTCAGGGGAAAAAATGACAGGGATACCTTGACCAGGATCAAGAACGGGCTGTGGGACTTTGACGAATATTGGTCGAATATCTCTAGCGAAGCAAAAGACTTTATCAAGAGTCTTTTGGCTTATCAGCCGGAAGTTAGGTTGGATGTTAAGAGGGCTTTGAGACATCCTTGGCTTGAGAATGCCGACAGGCTTTCCACGGACCTCTATAAAATATCATCTGAGAATTTGAAGAACTACTATACTCTCTTCAGGTAACTGTACATGCAAAGTAGGGTCATTTCGTCAATTTATGAGGTCTTTAAGAGGATATAAAAGGCGCTAAGAAATTTAATTGACGTCGGTAAAGTAAAATTCATCTACAGCATTTTTGGTCGTGTCATTTTGAATACTCAAATGGTAACATATGCTGGCGCGTCCCATTACCGACATTTATATTTATGTTGAAGTCTTTTGCAGTCTACCCTGAGAATTATACGATCTCAATGGTTTTATATGTCATTTCGGTAAAGTAATAATGAAATGATCGATGTAAAACTGCCAAAATTCCATGAATTCATGACTGTTTATATTTTGACGAACCAACGTCGCCATCTGTGACGTTCAGCTGCAACTAAATTTTTGCTCTAAAACACGTGTTAGCCATAGGGCAAGCCAGCATTCTCTTGTAATCGTTGGTCAAAGTATTTGCCACATTTTTCCATCTGACTCTGTAATATTCCATTTCTATGGTATTCTAAATTGTTCGAGCTAGGGCCTGAAACTCTTTATTTTCTATTCTAAGTCTCCGAGAAGCGTAAAACGTCGAAAACGTGCACGGACCACGCCATGTTGATTCCAGTCCATGATAAGTAAATAAATTTTTGATGAAAAAAGAAATGTTAGGAGTTTCAGGACCTACTTTAGAACTTCCATATTCACGTGAGAAAATTTGAAACGAATCAGTACACATAATTCGGGGAATACTTTTAGCAACAATTTGACTTCTCAGATATATGCAGGCCGACTCTTTCATATCACATTAACGATTCTATTTCTTTGATTCACAGAGACTGGTACAGTAACGCATCTTGTCGAACCTGGTACCGAAGACGCAAACTTAACGGCGCGTTTGAACATCCTTCAAAGATGGTTTACCCTCCTGGACAAAAATACACTCCGGAGGCGAGTCCCGAGAGGTGCTTTACTCCCAAGAAGAAGCCTTCTCCAAGAACCTGGGAGAACCAAGTGCCCTCCCGAGATCCTATTGACACGGAAATTGGTATTATCAAAAGCGAGAGTCAGTAAGTATATTTATGTTTTACGGGTCGCAATCAAGAAATTTAATGCAGAACAAGACATATATTTAAATTATTTCCGTTTAAATGTTAGCTATTTAATTGTATCAAAATTTCCTAAATTTTCGTAGCTATCAGAATGGACCGGACACTTATCTTCTTCAGCTTCGAGACACAGACTTCCCGGTACGATTAAGGGAATACATGAAAGTTGCTTACAACCGGAGTTCCGGGTATTCTCGCACTGTTACCGATGACAATAATTTCGATTGGAGGGTAAGGACTGGTTATTTGCTAAATATCATGTTGAAAAAAACAAAAAGAAATGTAAAGAAATGCAAAGACTCCGTTACGTCTTTCTGTACACCTAAAAGACGGAAACGGACAGAGTTGTGCGTTTCCGTACATCCTACGAGTTGACGTAAACGTACATGTATCTATAGATAGATTATACTATCACGATGATCGTCCATTACTTCTTGTAGATGTACAAAACAGAAACGGATAGGGATGTCCGCTGCCTATCCGTTCGCTGTTGCTCAAAGAGAAACCAAAAATATACAGAAACGTTCAGAATGTGTCGATACAGACTTCGTATGCTGCTGTTCGTTTTTTGTTCAGCAGGGTGTAACGTTTTTGTTATTTTGGTAACCATTTTTTTCAGCGACTAATAATGTATATTTTTCTGTACAATTTCCTTTACCTAGACACCGGTGATACGAGAACGTCGTCGTTTCACGGACGTGATGGACGAAGAAATCGACGACGAGAGGAAGGAAAGAATCAATCGTTACGGAATAGCAGACAGCTACACTTTGCGACGTTTGCGGCACGAGCTGGGCACTCGATTAGACACATACGCTGAAGCTGAAGCATTGCTGGAGACAAGGAAAGACGGACATTTACCATTTTTCCGGGAAAAGCCGCAACTGAGACCTATAGTCGCCGAGAAACCTGCGGAACTTGCGTGCCTAGCTGTAGGGGACCCGAAACCTACGGTTCAGTGGTTCAAGAACGATATGGTGATTCAAGAAGGTGGCAGAATAAGTATAACCGAGGACCAGGACGGCAGATCTATCTTGAGCCTGAACCCTGCGAAGGAACACGACATCGGTATTTACAAGGTGGTCGCTAGGAACAAAGTCGGGCAGACCGTGGCCAGGACGAGAGTTCTGTTGGCGACTGTTCCGTCATCCCCTGACTCCCCGGAGGTAAATATAAAGTTTGCAATTTGTAACAGCGACGGCGATGCTTCGCTCGCAACTGCGAACCGAAATTTTCACCCCGAGACCTCATATTACCATTTAGTATAGTAGCGTATAAGACACTTTTTTTCCATGGTCCCGTTCAAATACGAGTTTATCAATTACTACAGTGTTCTAAATTGTTGTACAATTGTCTTGACCCTTTCGTTTCTCATATTAGAGCTCCCAATAATTGTATATCGATCGAAATACGGGAGCTCGACGCCAGATCGGAACGGTTCCTCGCGATTCTTCCCTTCCGGTTCCCACGGGGTCACAAAATCTAGCGGAAGTTCGGTAGAGGAACCTTCGATTCGCTTTCGGGGTGTTAGCTCCTCGCGAGACCCTCTTTCCGACCACGGGCCGGGCCTTTCTCATTCTCCATCTTAAGGATTTGCGACTCCCTCGACTTAGCAAGAAAATGAAGGAAAAAACGAATGACACTGTGTTTATAAAAATCATTTCGTCGTTGCAGGTAGCCGAGATTTCGGACACCGACGTGCTCCTTCGTTGGAAGCAGCCAAAATGCGATGGAAATTCTCCAGTGCTCTGCTACAGTTTGCAGTACTGTGCAGGAGACAGCGTCGATTGGATCAACGTCGCCAGCAACATAGATCACGAGTTCTACGTGATAAGGGGTCTTCAGCCAGACACCAGCTATCATTTCAGGTTGTTGGCGAGAAATCGCATCGGCTGGAGCGAGAAAGGAATCCCCACGAATCTCATCATGACAAAAGACGTTGGCGCTCCGAAGGTTCAAGTAACTCGTGCCATGAAGCACCTTCAGCAGCTAACGGAGTCGGGTCAGGAGATCGTTCTGGAAGAGACCAGGCCACACATCGACTACTCCATAGAAGACAAACCCATCGAGTGGTCGACCGAGAATCAGCTCACTAACCGATACAGCTTCATTTCGGAGTTGTCCCGCGGCCAGTTCTCCGTAGTCGTAAAAGGGGTAGAAAAGGCCACGGATCGCGTCGTCGTAGCGAAGATCCTGGAAGTCCGTCCCGAGACGCAAGAGCAAGTTACCCGGGAATTCGAGGCTCTGAGATCCCTCAGGCATGAGAGAATAGCTCTCCTGGAAGCTGCCTACAAAGTCTCGGAGTCCCCGATCGCAGCCCTGATCTTAGAGAAGCTTCAGGGTGCCGACGTGCTGTCCTACCTGTCCAGCAGACACGAGTACTCCGAAAATTGCGTAGCCACCATCGTCACCCAGATTTTGGACGCTCTGCAGTATCTGCATTGGAGGGGCTACTGCCACTTGGATATTCAACCCGATAACGTTGTCATGGACTCCGTCAGGTCGGTCCAGGTTAAACTGGTGGATCTGGGCAGCGCCCAGAAGGTGACGAAGCTTGGCACTCCGGTAGCGTGCCACGGACATCCGGAGTACGTTGCACCGGAAGTCCTCAACGAGGAGCCAGCCTATCCACAGACGGACATCTGGATGGTCGGAGTACTCACGTACGTCCTGCTGTCGGGGACGTCTCCTTTCAGGGGCACGGATCCTGACGAGACCAGACAAAACATCTCCTTCGTCAGATATAGATTCGAGCATCTTTACAAGGAGCTCAGTCAGGAGGCTACGAGGTTCCTCATGCTTGTCTTCAAGAGAACGCCAAGGTAAAAGCATTCTCTTTTCGCCCTGGAACGATCCTAGAAATTCTTTCCTTTCGGTCTTCCCCGGCATTGGATATGGACCCATATGGTTTTGATACCATATTTATCAATTTTGTCCAATCTATCCTTTTGCACTCGAGGCTTTTTTCGCCCGGACGAACCAACAAGTCGAGACGATTTTCCGCATACTTGGTGAATTTCATTCAGCTAACTTAAAATGATTTCACATACAAATTAACGTATAAAACTATTATATTTTAATATTTTATGTATCCTTACATGTGAAAGAAGGAAATTTGTTAAATATTATAGACTGTCGTTGCTTTGTAACTACGTAGCTTACCGTAGAAAATCGTAGATATTTTATGTATCCTTACATGTGAAAGAAGGAAATTTGTTAAATATTATAGACTGTCGTTGCTTTGTAACTACGTAGCTTACCGTAGAAAATCGTAGAAAACCAATATATGACGTTTGCAATATGAAGTGCTGCAGATGCACGATATATGTATCTGCTAGGATATAAACGTTTTTTACTTGGTAGAAAATCGTAGAAAACCAATAAATAACGTTTGCAATATGAAGAGTACTGCAGATGCACGATATATGTATCTGCTAGGATATAAACGTTTTTTAGCGCATGTGTAAACATGTAAAAACTTTGAAGGAATAATTAATTTGGCGCTGGTGTTCAAAATTCTTTCGACTTAATCCAGTTTAATATCAAATTTCTAATTGGATTTATTATTTTCTAATTATAAATAGAAGAGTGTAATATACTTCGCGCTCACGTAGAAAACTGGGAACGTATTATACTGTATTATACGTTGTAATGTACGCGGAGAAAATCACATATATTACATGATGTATTATACCTACCCAACCCTGCTGAGAGTCACCTCCAGGGTTGGGTAAGTAAATACCCTAGATAATTTACGTAGTTTTTTTACAGTAACTTACTAGGTATTTTACTTCACAAATTTGATACGTGAGGTAAATTACATGAACATGGCACGTTACGTTTCTGCAGTTCTTATTCCTGATACGCTTAAAATTCAAAATTATCCATGGAATGTATGAAAAACTGGAACGTGAATCCTAGATCTTTTTAATGTTCGCTTCAATTTGCCATTATTCTTTATTACTTTCTTTTTTTGACTAAAATGTTTATTCACAAGAGACGTATATTTTGACCGTTTTGAAAAGTGAGGTTACAGTACCGCCATCTTTCTCTTGGAATTTATTCGGTATTTTACTTGAATGTTACGAAAAATACATCCCTTACGTATTTTACGTAAAAAACTGCGAATGACGCGTCACTGCCCAACCCTAGTCACCTCTTGAGTGCAAAGGGTTATTAAAACAGCGGCAGGGAAAAAGCGAATTATTAGGTTAACTTAAACTTACGTCGAATGTTACAGCAAAAGGCCAACTGCAGAGGAATGTCACGAACACCGATGGCTTTTGCCGACGGAATTCATGATTAAGAAACGCGAGAGAGCAGTGTTCCTTGGAAATAGGCTGAAGGTATACAATACGGAGTACCACGAAGAGAAGCAGAAACTGGCCACGAAGAGCGACAGCTTGTCGGAAGCCTTTGGATCGGCGAGGCAGCTCATCAGATCGAATAGCATACAGGATGAGCTGTTCACGACGTTTTAATGTCTAGCATAAGTTTTCCAATTACGTATTTATTTATTTAAAATGTTTATAATTCAGACGCGTCTAGTCAGTCCCGCTGTATAACGACGAACGGTGCCTTATGTGAAAAACAACGAAAACTCTGAAATTGTGATTCTCAATGACTTTTGCTATTATTTATTAATTGTGATTTGTAATACTCTCACGATATTTCTATGCGATTCACAGGTTCCGTTCGTAGGCCTTATTTTGGTGTGTTCAACAAAATTACATTTAATATAAAAAAAGAAACAGAACATGAAGCGGGAACAATCGATGAAAGGAAGTGGTGATATGATTTATTGTACTCGGAAAAGAATTTTAAATTGTACAAAAATTGTAATCACGCTCTCTTAAGCGAGCATACGATTGATGTAAATTACTATCAGGTAATAAACAATTATAATTAATACCTCGTAACAATATTCAGTATCTTCGACTAGATGATCAAATAATATTACTAAGTTTCTCAATGTCTACTTGAATAAAAATCCTATATCGTGGTGATAGTCTTGTCGATTGTAAGTTTCGTAAATAACTCAGAGCTTCTTATAGTTTTGAAGACATATAATATGCAGACAAATCCACGTCACGGACACGAATACATTCCCATCACTGATGATAAAGGATCAAGATTACAGATGTTTAATATCGAGGAAGAGGCTATTTTCTATCATTAAATATTATTTTTATTTACAATTGTTTCTCCCTTTGCATTACAATAGTCTGTGACAACGATATACTTAAGTGTATTTTGCTATTAGATCTCAATTGTAGTAGACAGAGGATAACATTTGTATAATTCTTGAACGGAAATAGTGTTATTAATTGAATGCCCAAAAAGAAATTCAAAATAGACTATTTGTAGTACATGTATGGCAGTTTACTAAATCGTACAGGGACTAGCGACAAAATATAAAATATAAAATATCTGAAAATCTGCTCACAACCTAAGATTTCTGCGAGGTAATACGTTTTTTTTTTCTTAGGCCATGAGCAGGATAAGAAAAATCGTGCAATCATTTAACTTTATAAATATGAGCTTCTTTTACAGTTCGATGCTTTCAAATGGTTACAAAACCCTCTTGATTTGCATGCAAATACGATCACGTTAATGTTTCCTATAACTGTGATCATCTTTTAGCAAACTGTGTGACGTACTCCTTTACCTTGCTTCTAAATGAATCCTTATCTTTTAAGTATAAGTCAGCTGCTTCCTTGTTCAAGGGATCGTCAAAGTTTAATAAATCCTATTACAAAATTAAATAATATTTGTTAGAAATAAGTTTCTTGTATTTTTACTAATCGCAGACCAATTGCAGAAGAGAACATAAACTCACCGTGAAAAGTGAATTTAGACCCCATACAACATCTTTAAGTTTTCGAGTAGGAGCCCAGCCCATTCCATCGATGCTATTAGGCTTTAAAATGGACAGACAAACGTCACCATCTTCGTTTATATTAGGATGCCAAAGTTTTGTTAAGCATTTTACTTTCGGGGGCTGAAAAAATTTGTTTACATGTACATTTTACATCAAAGTTCATTATAAATATTTACAACATAGTCGTAATAAGTATTTACAATCATATTGTACTCTTCAGATATGTTTATGTGGAAGTAAAAACTGCCACCTATCCAATACCCTTCATCCGGTACAATTAAAAGGGTAAATTCGTGCAACCGGTGAGGATCATCAAACGTAATTTGACAAGTACTAGGAAGAGTCTGCTCCATCTCTTGTACCTAACGCACATAAGAGTCAAAGACAAATGCAACAAATGAAAATAAAACATATGATTAATGAGTGTTTGTCAAAAACTTTAATCGATAAAAACAGAATACTTGCCTCTTTAACGAGCAATTTATCTCTCACCGAGACACGCTTATTGTAGTCTTTAGATTTTGAGTTTGAAATATCTGCATTCTTTTTTAATTTACCTCTTAGCGTAATCATATTCTCATACGAATTTCTGCTTCATAAAAGTTCCTTAAACTTTGAAAGATCGATTTGAAGCTCTTAGTTTTACTCGGAATAATGGTAACGGAACATATTTATTTATGTCCATAAAGCATGCATGGACTAAAAGAAAATTCTTTGAAAGAATATTTTATCTATACCACAATGTACCCTTTTTCTATAATTACTCGATCAAAAATACCTTTTGTAAATCGTTATTAGCAGGACCATTCGTGATTACAAGAATTTCAAAGTTAGAAATTCTTTCCTCTAACCTGAACGCAGTATGCAGTTAGGAAAAGAAATGTTGCGCCTTCCCCAATTCTGTTTTTGCTTAAATGTATATGATATACTTAATGTTGTCGCTTGTTATTTATTAGTATTCAACTATCACCATTTAAAGTTGTTACAATATTTAAACGTGATGTTAGATTTTAATGAGTATGTACATTTACACATTTTGCCTTACACCGATTTTATAACTACCAGCGTTAAGCGTTGTGTGAACGCTGTTTCACGCTAGTGTTACCAATAAAACCGGAGTAAAGTGGCATTTACACCACTCTTAAACCAATAGTTATAAAACCAGGGTGTGTACGACAGGATATGTAAATGTACTCAATGTTAAAACTACAATGTTAAATGTCGTATAAATGCCGGTTTATGAGTTACTAATAGTGTTTTTAGCTGGGCTCATTAAAATATATACACTGAAATATACAGTAAACTGGAACGCCAGCGTGGCCAAGGTTAGGTAATTTAGCGTTTTTCGAGGTTTTTGACGTATATTACGTAAACCACGTAGTTTACCGTAGAAAATCGTAGAAAACCAGTAAATTATGTTTCCAATATGGCGGATGTCGCAGATACACGATATATATATATATATCTGCTAGGATATAAACGTCTTTTAGTGCATGTGTAAACACGTACAATTTTCGAAGAAATAATTATTGGTGCTTGCGTTCAAAATTCTTTCGACTTAATCCAATTTAATATTAAATTTCTAATAGGATTTATTATTTTCTATTTAGAAATAGAAGAGTGTAATATATTTCGCGCTCACGTAGAAAACTAGGAACGTATTATACGTTTTAATATACACGGAGAAAAACACGTATATTACATGACGCGACACTACACAACTCTGGGGGAGATATTCACGCCATTGTTTGAAAGGGAAATGTGACGTCAGCAGCTAGGACAACGGTAACCGTATACACATTTCAGGCAAACGCCGCAAGCGGCGCTCCGATAGGGCAACACGCAAACACACCTTAGTTCGCCGTGTAGTTAGATATAGAACACAAGAAAAAAAGAAGTCTAACGACAAAGTACCACAAAGCGCGGTCTATTAAGTTTGTAACAAAAGAGAGTTTATATATGCTAAATAGGCTTAATAATAAGTACTGTGATTATGTCGATACAGTGTTTTATTTATCATTAACAAAAATATCATTATCATTAACAAAATATATATCATTAACAAAAAAGGCGAACGAGTCGGGTAAAATAGTGCTGACACGCATGTAGCCGAACGCACCATAGAAACACGCCCACTGATGCCCTCTACGTCCTTTACACCTCTGTAAAAATTAGAACTGCTTTCAAAGGGGCGAAATTTTTATGATCGGTAAAACAGGGTATGCGTGTGTGCTGCGCCGTAATCTCATCCACTCATGTATAACATTTTATTTGGTATTCGTAGTTGTCTTTCCCTTTCTACATTGACCCTGATACTGAAAACGAAAAAGCGGTAACTTCATTCTATCGGTACTATGCTATATTTGAAATCTGCAGACGCGTTTTTCTTTACCGATAGAGAATATTTTGCCCGCTTGAGTTCCATGGCGCTAGTGAGCCGAACCTCACTTTCGACAACGGCGAGACACATCGTCCCGCTCTTCTCTGTTAAAAGTATGTTTAGTAACATGGCCGGCAATAAGGTCATTTGTAGTTTACAAAATGTTGGAAATGGTGAAAAAATGAGCGACAACAGCGATTCTAATTTAACCTCTAGTGTAGAAGATATATTCTGTGATTCCGCCGATTACGTACCATGCCCCGATTTTCAGTTTTTGGTAAGTCGTCATGAGAATGCTTGGTATTATTGAAAGAGGTAAACGCCTTTACAGGTATATACAACAGGGAATAATGAGGGAGTTAAAACGAATAATTCGATCGATTTAGCAGTTGTATCGAAGGGTATTTTTAAAACTCTTATATGTACCGCTACTAGATCATCAAAGTACCGAATGCGGTGTCCATTTCTTAGATTGTAGTTTAGAAATGAAAATGCATTTTGTGGCTTATTTCCTTTTTGGATAGAATCTGTTACTTCTGTTTCCATAAGAGATTTTAGTTTAATTCGTTTGTCCTGTGTTCAGGATACATAAACCTACGAAGAGTAGATTTTTTTAGCAGATAAATGAAGTCTGAATGTGTGAAAATAGGTATTATAGTTGTAAGCGTGTACAGATTTTTATTACATTTGTAGTATGAAGAATGTTTTTCTAGACTTCGACTTGTTATATCTGTAACGGGTATTATGGGCCATGTTTTGGAGAACCGGTCTGTGCGACGTGCCATGCCTTTCTGTTTCCGGATGATGTTGGGCTGTTACAGGTTCCATTATTCAGCGAGGTATGCAATCTTGGTGATACATTCTTTAGGTTTCTTGTTAGGTATTTCTGATCTTTAAATAAATTACAGAAAACAGATGACGAAGACTCAGGAAACGATGAGCCCACTGACTTATATTATAATGCAGAACGTCGGACTAGTCAGCATCAACAAAGTTCGCCTCAAAATCGAAATCCTGTTGGACCAAATATACGGAATGTTCCAAATCAGAACATAGACTTGAATGAAGATCATATTCAAGCTCCTGTAAGAAATTATTCCGTTCCAGCTCAGAACGATGCGATGGTAGGGCAGCTTTGTCTACGAAATAATCCATCAGGACTTCTACGGAATATCCACGTTTCTGCGAATCTTAATCCAAATATTCAGAACGGCCAAAATGGAAATGGTTATCCTCAAAATCGAGTGCCACAACGTCAAAACCAAGTACACGATCCGGTTGAAGAGGATCTTCCAAATCTAGATCTTGCTGTTGCTGACAATGGTCGTAATTTTCGTGGCATAGATCAGTACCATCAATATTCAAGAAATTATGGTGTGCAGGGTAACGTGGAAGAACCATCCAGATCTCGACATCTATCCGAAAGGCTAGAAATGTTATCAAATCATAAACATGTAGAGCATGAACCAGTGAATGACCCAGGTCTGGTAGAAAGATTGCCTCCAGAAGTTCTACTAGCAGTATTCTCACACTTGGATGACATAAGCCTTTGGTCGGCAGCTAATGTATGTCGAAGATGGTGTGGCCTGTTATCGACTCACATAACGCCTCAACAATGGCAACAGCACGTTCAATTACGATGGCCCTTGTATAAACCAATTGGACACGTTAGAAACTGGTACAAAGTTTACGACCAACTTGCTTCTTCTGCACCATGTCGGACATGTTTGGCTCAAACATCTTTAAGAACAGGACCACCGAGAATAGAAGAAAACTCGTGGAGAAGAAATAGGCTGCGCAATGAATTGAAGAGTTTAAGGATTGACCCTCCAGAAGGGATCGAAGCAACTCCCCTTGATCAAATGTGTTGTCACTGGCAGGCAACGATAACTGGACCAGTAGGCAGTCCATACGAGGGAGGATTGTTCTATCTATACCTTCAAGTGCCGTATAGGTAAACGCTAATATTTTTATTTTTTATGAAATGTGTCCAGAAACAGTTGGCACATTATTTATTATTTATTTCAGTTACCCAATGTGCCCACCGGTAGTAAGATTTTTGACAAAAATACTTCATCCAAATGTATCGAGGCATGGCGATGTCGGCATTGACTCTATTCATCATAATTGGTCTCTGGCACTAACGATATCGAAAGTATTAATCAGTGTACAGAGCTTGTTAACAGATCCTTATTGTCAGGTAAGTAATGCACATTATGCTTTGACTTGCCTGAGAGCCCCGTGCCTATAATACCAAAATTATTCTTTGCATTACTATTATACCGTTAAATAATTCTTCATTTTTAGGTATGTATGGAACCGCAAGTGGGTGAAATGTACATGAATGATCGCGAAAGGTTCGAAGAAGTCGCAAGAGCGTGGACCTGGAAATATGCAATGCATGACGTGGTGACACCGTCGTAATTTGTTCTCGGAAGTGAATTCCGTATAGTGATCGAAGTTGTCAATAATTATGTGATAAACAGTCGGAAGAATCGCTTCCAAAATGCCGCCTTGTTTACCAGACCCGGCTATAGTACTACTACTATGTTTCGTTAAATTTTTACAAAAATGCTTCTTGTGTTTATTCGACTTTTTATCCTACTTCAAATTACTTGCGGATATACAGGGGATTAATTCAGCATTGGTTCACACTGCAAGCATTAACATGATGTGATAGTACCGTTAATAGTCGATTAACATCATCTTAATTTTTTTTTTATGGAAAGAAATTATATCAACAAATATTGTGTCAGAGTTTTTAAGTTAAATGTTGAGTTGTATAAATAGTACATACTCCCTAGCATTTTCCAGTTTTACTGCAGATTTCTTATCTCCAAACACAGGAACTCTTGCGATTACAGATATTCAAATGCTGACGAGGGGATGTCAAAATATGGTACTCGATAATGATATGCAACACATAGTGTAGTCATTTCATCAATATTCACGAACCTAAGGGAATCTTCAAAATTGTATGAATTGTCGGTAGTTTTTTTGGGCAATGAAATGATCTAAAGCCCTTCGTTGATCACATTACGTGTTGGAAATGCCAATGTAGATGTGTGGTACTTGTTCGGTAAAGAATGTGTTCAGGAAGGTTTTCGAAATCAGAAGGAATGTTGGGAAAGAACCGCACCATGAGATGTTCACTTGAAGTAATACATATGCATTATAAATCTCGTGAACGAAGAACGTCATTTGGATTTGGTTTCTTTCCCGCTTTTCTGCCGTCAGCTTAGTCGTTCATGAATGTAGGTAGTCAATTTAATATGAGACTGATGGTAAAGGTCTATAATGATTAAAGACGATTCCGGCATTGAAAAGTACATTTTCGCAGAGTAATCGTTAACCCGTTGGATCTGTCGTTTTCGTCATTTTTTTTTAATACCAAATGCAGGGCTTTGCAAAAAGAGATGTGCTTGATTTCGCAATTCTTTGTTTCATAGCACGCGACCCATGTAAGCACCTCATAGTTACGCATCAGCTATTGTAATCTTTGTATACCGCTTTCTTTTTTTTTCAACAACAGTGTCATTTATTTTTGTACGTTTAGAACATTTCAAGAGTTTAATACGCGATAGTGTCAGATTGTAAATTATGAAGGAATGTAACTAAAAATAAATACATTTTTCCTTTACATAAGCCCACTGAACACCAAACCTAACAGTTACGTAACTTAAAGCTTACAAATAACATTACGTTTGTTACAATGTAATAACCTAATAGTTACATGACATTTCTTACTATCATATCTATATAAATGTAGCATAACTTTGTTACTCTCATCTTGCATTATGTTACTGTCCTGATATTACTGTGTACATGCAGCATATATTTGTAACAAAACAGAACTACATTGGTGCTAATTGTCATTTATTTTATTACATCATCGTCATTGTCATAATTCATTGTCAAACGTCATAAGATTAATATATGTCATATTTTGTTTACTACTCGTATGGAAAAATGTGATTTTAATTCGTACGCGCATATACATTATTAGTCATGGTTTTCCAGTCGAATGAAATCCTAATTGATGTTAAGTAAAGTCAAATAGTTTATCATTACATAATTTCATTGAAAGTCTGATTTGTCATTTAATATCTAACTATTGTCAAGTANATCGATCTCGTATAATTGACCCAGTAAAAATGTATTCAATTATACATTACTTGGCGTGACAAAAATCTAATAAATATATCTTGCTTAAATGCAGACTCGAGAAAATCTCATGAAAACGATAGTTCACCGTCTCTCCCCGTCAATCCAGACAGAAGGATATACAAAAAATGAGAGGGACAACGTGGCGAAAAAAATGGATGGCTGCCCATTCGAAAGAATGGAAGGCCATCGTAGTTGCCCTCTTCTTAAGGGGCCGCTTCGGCATATAGCCTCTTCGACTCTTGCAGTCTCTTCGGGCAGAGCCCCCTACGTCTCGAACGCTTGGCAATCCCCTGATTTGTCGGATTAATAAAAAAAAAAAAAAATCGCTCGCGGGGAGATCTAAATGCTAGCAAAACGACGACCTGCGATCCGAGGATGCGCAGTCCGAGCGTATTGCACATTTATCCGGATTCCCAAGCGCGGTCTATTTAATTTTATTCCTGAAAGAAAATTGTCACAGTCGCGGATATGTCACAGGATGGACATCCTCCGCCCTTCCGGAAGAGCGAACGATGGAAGAGTATCCCAGGTCCAGGATCTCTCCCCAAACCCCCGGGAAGAGATTCCGTCCTGGCCCTACCTGCTTACATCTAGACAATCACTCCAGACGACTATCCTACCTCCCTAGCTATATCTAAAAAATCAAACACATTCAGCCCAACTCATTCACTCCACGATTCTCTTTCATTCCACCCGGGTGCAAAAAGCCTAATCCTAGAGAGAGCATCCCGGGATGCCTCCGACACCCGAGTTTAAATTCCACATACAAACGCATTATCGATTGCCATCGCAGTTTAAATTTAAATAAATTAAACGAATGCACGCAATGGATAGTAGATGGCAATCGAAGTTTATAAATTTTACCGCGCCTTCTGATCCCGACCCGTTCGACTCGCTCCTGGAGGAGTCGAAGGGCGGGGGCCAGCAAAAGACGCGGCTAGAGAAAGATGCACCTACCGTCGCTGACGCTGAAAAAATCCTACCTTTATTAGTTTTAACAACGCTAAAGCGAGCTATCGACTCTACTCGACGTTTTTAATTCAGAATTTCAACAAGAGAAAAAGGCCAAGCCCAGCTCGCACTACGGCTCCAGGGTAGTGGAAGGCTTGGTTGAAAAGACCTGCAAACCCTGAAACCGACCCCCTCGTCGAGGTGGCGACTCTAGGACGCAAGCACATCGAAGTGCCCCCTCGACTCGGGTGTGGCTCCTCGCGAGATATTTCTCCCATATCTTTTTTAAATTTTTTATTTAATCATTCAAAGAAATTCCGTGGAACCGGCGGCCTCGAAGTCGGAGGATCATCCGACTTCCCGGCGCTCGATTAAGAATCGCGATCGGAAAATTACCGCGGACCTGGGAGAAATCTATTCCTACTCTAAAAGAACACATGAAAAACATAGAAAATCAACACTACCACTCGTGAGTCGGCGAGAGATCGTCTCGTCGACTCGCGGTCCCTCGAATCAAAATGTAAACATACAACCGGCCTCCGTGCCGGTACGGACCTTTCGTCCTGCGGCATGAGGAGGCCGGAGGAAGGAAACGTTGAGACTTACCAACGGGACGATCCGTCTTTTTCTGGCGGTACTCCCCCAGGAGATCCCTCCGCAGAGACCTGGGGTTTCTGGCCTCCTCTCCATCTGCCTCCCTTCGACGTTGGCTCTGGCTGCATTCCACCTTTGTGTCCGCTTCCACTGCTTTCGCTGCATTCGCTGCATACGCTGGATACGCTGGATACGCTGCCTTCGCTGCCTTCGCTGCCTTCGCTTCCTCTTCCTTCATTGAACGATATTATTATATTATAATATGAACGATATTATATTATATTATATTATGATATGAACAAGTTTATATTAATCCTTGTTACTCACAGTAATCACTGCATTCCACCTTTGTGTCCGCTTCCGCTGCTCTCGCGCCCCCCGCCATTTTCTTAATTTTTGACGACATCCACTCGCGGCAACTTTTCAGGAGCAACTGGCGATCCGCCGGTCGGGCCGCAATCCCCGGCCGTGACCGACTCCGTGATTGGACGACGTCACCGGCCCAATAAACGATCGATCAATCACGGTCCATGTGGCCCATTCATCTCTGCTAACTGTAAGTTTTGATTTTTCGAGAATTCAGAATTCTCATGTAAGTCCAGATTCTGTTTTAGCAGTTGATGATAAATAAGTAGTTGGCGAGTTCGCCGCTCGATGGCAGCACTTACGAAGTTTATTATTTGATTGAAAACCAAGCTGTCGGTGGTCGAAGTGTTGATATTAATTCGGGGTTAAGTTTATCTATATTTATAGACAATTAATATCGAAAAACAAACATTCCTTGAATTGTCAGTATGTCGCAAGGAAAGGGTAAGAAGGGATCGTGTACGTATTATTTATTACCTAATAATAAAAACAGAAAGACGTACATAGGGTGAAAATAAAATTGCTGTTTTTTTTTTATAATACTTTTATATGTGTTTTTAAGTTTGAAATTCATGATGCTAATATTATGAATCATTTTTACAGTTTCATCTGGTGGAGCTAGGAAGAATCGTCATCATCATTACAATAAGAATAAAGTTAATGTCGGCGACAGAAGTCGAGAAGTTCTTGAGAATATTAATGAACATTCTCCAGTCATTCAACAGTTTCGCGGATATTCTGCTGAATTAGATAAAAAACACGATCGTTATGAAAGGATCGTAAAGTTCAGTCGTGATGTTACGATTGAGAGCAAAAGAATTATTTTTTTGCTACATACTATCGATAAAGAAAGTAAGAAAGACGCCGTTTTGGTTGAGGCTAAATTGAGGTTTCTTCATATGGCTAAAACGTTATTCAAAAATATTGCGCTTGAGTTGGATGGACAAGATGTGTATCAATATTTAAGAGCGTACAAGAGTGGCGTCGAAGAATATATAGAAGCAATCACTTTCTATCAATATCTTCAAGATAATAGTTTACAGGATTGGGATATGCTCGAGAAATCTCTGACATATACGATTCCTAAAAAGGAAGAAGAATCTGATGCAATTGAAAACCCAGAGTCAAAGACTGTACAAATGTCGATACTACCAAATGAATATATTTTAGGAATAGCAGATCTTACTGGAGAATTAATGAGGAAGTGCATAAATAATTTAGCATCAGGGGATATAGCCAGTTGTTATCAGACGTGTGCTTTTGTCAGAAGTATGTACAAAGGATTTCTTAAATGCGTTGGCGTATCAGGGAAGGAAATAAATAGAAAAATGTACACGTTGAAGCAAAGCTTAACTAAAATGGAAAATGTCTGTTATACGATTAAAGTAAGGGGATCAGAAATTCCCAAATATATGTTAGCAGATATGGCAATTGTAGCCACTGAAGAGTACACTTCTTACGACGACGAGGGGTATCAGGGTTACTGAACAAACATTAATCCACTCAGTATTTCAAAGACAACAAATATTATTAATATATCTTGTTTTTATTATTTTCTATCTGTAATATAAATGTGACAACAGTTGAAATACAAAATAAATATTTCATATCAAGTATAGAACATTGGTACATGCTTCGTGAAGTCTGGCGGAACCATTAAACATGCTTATTTATCCTCCCATTCGCTATCGATGTCTTCGGCACTCTCAGAGCAACAGGATGGATCATATTCTGATTCATCTATCGATTCTTCGGCAGAAGATGGATCCGTCCCAGAAGTATCTGGAGTTTTGGCTCTAATAGGTGTTGGAGCACGGCCACGACTTCGTACTGTATGCTTAAATTCCTTTCTGTGTTGGGGATTTTTACGGTAACATCGTATTCCAAATCGACACTCTGGTCTGTTATCAGGAACGTCATAGTCTGCATCACCAGGATGGCTAAACATAGTTCTATGATCGCTATTTCTCCTAGAAATGAAAATCTTATATTATCAGTTTCCTTAAAATTCATGATTTAATTTACAAATGTTATTCTTATACAGTACCTGTAGCATCTACTCCCATATGTACATTTATTCCTCGGTGGTGGCGAATTACTGGAATTTAAGTTTACAGTATCGGGTTTCGGACTTGATACAGAAGGTTGAACAGTGGTTTGTATTGCATCAGAACTAGTTTGATCACTGAAGTGCTGACCACAATCCCATTTAATTTTCTTTCCACAGTCTTCGTTGCAAATATTTTCTTTATTTATTATCTTGGGAGAATCTTCCTTCGTTTCTGCTTTGGTACTGTTATCAGATTGTAAACTACTGACTGTATCTTTTGTAGTACCTAGCAGTGACTCGGTTCCTTTCAATTCACCTTCCTCTGGTGTGCTAAGATAAAAAAAGGCAATCGATACAATTTGTAATGCATATATAAATTAGTGGTAATGATTACTACTAATTCATGTTTAATTCAATATTTCTTTAGATTTGTATGTCAAACAAACCTAGCACCATATATGTCTTTCATAATTGATTCCGTCATAGGTCTCTTTTGTATCCCATTGTTATTATTTATCTGTAAATCCTTCTTGACCGAATCTATTGTATTGCTACTAAGTGCATCGTTCAAGTCTTTGCTTGGACTTAATATTGCTTCCGTACTTGATTCAAGGCAGACCTTTTTTTCTGGAGGTTGCTCGTCGGACTGTTCTGCTGCCTATAAATTAAATAAGGCGATAATCACATTTTCTTTCAACAGTCTTTCTAATTAAAGATTGTCAAGGTTGTCGAAACCTTCCGCTTAGGACTGAAGTCACTTTCCATCGTTTCTACAATTTTAATCCAAGACTTGTCTGGAAGAAGGCAGCAGATGTCTCCGATGTTAATAGGTACAGTGCAACCTAACTTTAATAACTCCCAGCTTGTAGAACCTGTAGTTTTTATGTAACAAGGAGCCACTTGATTCTAAAAAATGAGGAATGTAAGTTTACAAACAACTCTGCTATCCAAAATTACATTGTCAAAGACCTCGTTATGAGGATACCGGAGTTATCGTCATTTCTCCTTTGGGTGACACAGTAATCGTTATAGCATTCTTCACGGATTTATCATCGTTGCTCTAAAAGAAAATTTATAAATTATCATTAACATACTAATAAAGAATACAAAGAGCTGTACTAATTATGTACGTATCCTTTTATAGAAACTTATAATACTTACGGTAATTTATCAGTATTACGTATAATCCAGAAATTCAATAATATTGTATTATTAAATATAGGAAATCATCAAATTTTGTTTCAAATTACGTCGGAACATAACCACGTTAACTTACGGCGCGCAATACCGTCTTTACTTGTATCGACACTAATGGCGGGAAAGTTTGAACATGTGACAGAGATTTTGAAATGTACCACTAGATGGTGCTGACGGTTTCAAAATGTACAGCGAATATCTACGAAGGTTACTGTATAGATGTTTATAAAGACTTTTTAAACCGTACAAAGTGTTTAGTCAATTCAAATAGAATTATTTATCTCTATAATCGTCTTAAAAATGTTTAAAAATATGTATGCGGATAAGAAATCAACGTACTCTCGTCTCAGCTACACGGCCGATAATGTTGTCTCCAGGACACAAATCCAACATACGTACAGAATCGTGATCAATTTGCAGGACTTGCAATTTCCTCACCATATTTGTCCATGGGGTTTGCAGCATACGCAGTTGCTGCACAGAATTTGACAAAATATCGAAATGTCAGAATGGGAGAAATTTGGCCAGGCATGTACAAAACATTGGAGGGAGCCGAGAGTATTTCCTTGTTTTTCAATATTCCGCATCAAAGTTGGCCAGATTCGATTAATGGGAACCATTTCGGCATTCTCTAAGCTCTAACGGCGACCAAAATAGCGCCAAAAAGGAAGGAACTAAAAAAATTATAAATTAAAAATGAAAANCGACTCGCGCTTAAGGGGATGTGAAAGTGGCATCCGAAAGCTCAATCGTGCATAAAGCTTTTCATAGAACTGGGTGTCTCAAATCGTTTCATACTTTAAAAGTGAATATGGAAGACCTAAGGGTAGGTCCTGAAAATCGCGAGATTTATTTTTTTATAAACTATTTCTAAAATATCTATAAAGAAATTTGAAAAGAATTGAAATTTCATGAGTTTCAGGACCTTCCTTATAGTCTCCCTATTCACGTTGTAATGTTTCAAACTATTCGGTAAACCGAGTTGGGAGAAAAGTTTTATAAACAAAACCTCTTCGCCGCCACTTTCACATCATTTTAAGTCCAGCCATTTACTTTTAACGAATTATCAGGGAATTATTATTAAATTACCTAGATTCTCTAAGGAATTGAGAGGCCTTGTGATGTTAAGGTGATGTGAAACCCCTCTTAAATCAGTCCCGAAGGAAGAGGGATCGGGAATTCATTCGATTTATCGACTCTCTTACGAGACAACTTTCCCTAGATTTTAGAGCAATTTGTATATATAATAAAGTTCAGGCATTTACTTTTAACGAATTATCAGGGAATTATTATTAAATTACCTAGATTCTCTAAGGAATTGAGAGGCCTTGTGATGTTAAGGTGATTTGAAACCCCCCTCAAATTAGTCCATCCGAATAAGACACGTTTTTTTAAGAGTCACACAGAACTTAAGAGTAACGCAGGAATTATCCTGACACTTTCAACATTGGGATTTTCGAAATAAAAAGAAACCACCTCTTGTAAAAGTGTATGACCAGGATTAACCCTCGCTTGGCAAGAAAAAATAGGTCAGCCGATAACAACCACGCCAAGCTAGATGACGGAACTCCAGGGGAGAAAAATCTTTTATGGTGTCGAGAGTTTATATTATACAACGACAGGATGCCGATAATCCTATTACCTTTTCTTTGCTTATCATGGCACTAGCTAATACAGACTGGCTATTAGCCATCATATCATATTATATGTTATACCTGAAGATAACAATTACGTCGCATACACTGACAAAAATGCATATGTAAATTTACATATTCAATCATTGGTTATTTTGGAGTCACAATAAATTGCGGTAAAATTACAGTCTTTGTAATATCACATCTAATATTTATGTTAAGTTAAAGCCGCCATATGACTTTATATGTTATACCTGAAGATAACAATTACGCCGCATACATTGACAAAAATCCGTATGTAAATTTACATACTCAATCATTTGTTATTTTGGAGTCCCAATAAATTGCAGTAAAATTACATTGTCTTTGTAATATCACATATAATTTTTATGTTCAGTTAAAGCTGTTATACCATATTATATGTTATACTTGAAGATAGCAATTACGTCGCATACATTGACAAAAATGCATATGTAAATTTACATATTCAATCATGTATTATTTTGGAGTTCCAATAAATTGCAGTAAAATTACATTGTCTTTGTAATGTCACATCCAACAACTATGTTAAGTTAAAGAAAATTACAATGTAATATGTATGACATTTAATTCAAGTAGAAATGCAGTGAAAGTAGAGGGTAGAAAAATGATACATGAAGCCTAGAGTTAAAACGAGACGGGATAATTTTCTTTTATTTATTTACAACTATGTACAGAATTCATCTGTTCATAGATTCCTACCCTCCTTCTTTGAGACCGGTAATTGTAACGTAATTGTATAAAATATGTACAAAAGTCACTTTGAATTCCAAATGTAGGCATCTTAGTGAGTGCACTAATTCTTTTGATGCCAGCTGATAATTATTGATATTTTGGGATTTAAAACCCAAAGTACTTGGAACTTGTGTACTGCATGCATTAAATATCGAGTCAAGATGTTACTTCGGGTAAAATATTAAGGACCCATTTCTTCAGATAAGCAATTTCTTCTCTCGCCAATTCATGATATGCATTTTTGAGACGAACAAACTCCACATTCACCCCGAGACTCTTTAAAACCTTACATGTCTCTTCACCCCAAGTAAACGGGACCAATGCATCGTTTGCACCATGAAATTGAAGCAACGGTGGAACATTCTTTGCCGTATCTGACTTTAGTTCCTATAATTTAAAAATATCAAGTAATATTTATAATGCAAACGGTGGACGAAAGGCAAAAGGTGTATGCAGGATATTTGAATATAAACGTTAAGTTCTTTTCAAATATATGAAATCCAAACAATAAATGTAATTTGACCCGCTTCTGCTTTCTGCCACAGATATTTGAACTACTTCTATATTTACTATTTCATGGTAAGCATACCTCGTAAACCATTGAATTAACATTTAAAAACGTAGACATGGCGACACAGCCTGCGACAGACTTTTTATATTTGTAAGACATATACATGGCTAGAGCTCCACCCATTGAAAATCCCCCGAGGACTATTCTACTTTCAGGGATGCCAATTTCGGTTTCCTTTTCGATTAATTCCGATGCTTTTTCACACATTAAGTTTACAGATTCCACTTCTTCGGGGACAAACATCGATATATCTTTTCTATCGAACCAAACGTTACTAATCTGCGGAAACCAATATATCGATTATTACTATTTAAGTTTTAAATATACATTGAAATATAGAAATATAATTACCATCCCCCCATTAGGCGTGTACCGCTGAGGAGGTGCGGTAGGATAAATAATTTTTATATGTGGAAACTTCAACTCTTCTCTGTTCATCATATCTACCCATTCCTTCATGTCATCTCCGTTACCCCCTGATATTTAAATTAAATACATATTCATGACAAATAAATACATTGACAGATCATACTGCGAATATAACCCCTAACAGTATTACGTAGATAACTCATAGATCATGATAACAATATCTTCTTCAAATTACAATTTTTTAAATAATTTAAAAGAATCTACATTGAAACGCGCAATAATTATTTACCAGATCCATGGAAAAGAATCAAAGTAGCGGTATGCTTTTTGGTAGCTTCCACTATTTTCATCGCTGGTATTCTTATCATTCCGGACATTCTTTTAAATTGATATCTCAATGCATCTTGTCATCATGCCATAATATTAGGAAAGCGAAGATATTTACAAATTATGAAATAACCGCAATTCCTTATTGGACCGCCACTGGGGGCAGTGTTGCCAACTCGAAGCTCGTGAATTCTAGTATAATCGGGCTAAAATTATAAGGTTTGTTTCTTTTGCCTACATTTTCTACACTTTTACGAAAAGTGTACACTTTGGCATTCGTTTTGACGGAAGTGACGCAACGTCGCTGTTCGTTTTGCGAGTGAATTTACGCCGAGTGTACACTTTCTCTCAGAGATGAATTGGGAGATTGCTCACGGGCAGGGTTGCGCGATCGCATCGTGTGCTGCCCTCTGGTTTCGTACGTTAGCTTTCACCGTTTTTTGCCCCCAAGGGCGGCGCNTGGCTTATCACCCAAAGGAAAGAAATGCATAATTTAGATTATTAATTACTCCTCTCTCATAAGGAAACATCGAATATAGTGTATCCATAAACGTTAACCCATCAAAAATGTACTATAAAGTACTAACTAGTATCCGTACAATATTCTTCCATTTCACTTTTTTCTATTATTATAAGTCGCAAAGTTTTTACAAGTTTCTTATCTACCTTGATCAGCAAAATGCCGCATTGTTGATATCCCTTTAGTGGGAGCACTCCTCGTTGATAAGCACGTTTATTGTTGCCCCTACCGTTAAATTCCCAGCCACAATTATTACATTACCAACGAAGACGTTATCATCAAAAGATTTTCTAACACACCCCCGTATTATATATAAATAAAAGATACAAAAAATTTTATTCCAGTAAATCCGTGCACCGCTCAGATGTGGAACTAGTGTCCATATTAATTGTTTATTCGCGAAAACCCAACTCTAGCCGAGAAATTCCATCGTCATAATTAATTTATAAATTGTAAGATAAGGTATCCGGATGGGATTTGCATTTTAGTATTTATAAGATAGTGTATCTTGATTTAATCCCTTTTGTTGGGCCTTCGCCGCTGCCTATCGACTCTGCTGTTATAATCGCGTCATCGATTATACAGTATCCTCCATTTTTAGATTCTACAATTTTTATCCAAACTCCGGTTTTTCGAACCGCGATCTTTCTACCGGACACTCGATGACACTGATCGAGTTCTCCAACGTGACATGTCACGAGGTATCGTCCAGCAGTCATTCGTGACGTCGCCATTGATGAAGTAATTTCATCCGTTTGCTTCTGGTGTGTCTCCCCACCAACCTAACCTCAATGCCACTGCAGAATTTAATTTCGGCTTAGCTATTAGAGATTAAAGTGACAAATAAAAGTAACAACTAACATAACAGTGATTAAAGTAACAAATAAAAGTAAAATCTAGCATAACACAGATTAAAGTAACAAATGAATGTAACAAAAAGTCAGAGTAAAGGCTCACATACATTATTCCGAGGCGCGTCGCATTTCAAAAATCCGCACGGGATCGATTTTATAGAGTTTTACATGGACGATCACATATTATAGACGAAATATTGTGATTAACTGCGGCCCGCCCCGACTATAACGTGCATGAGCCTTAAATGTACCGGAAGTAGCAAAAGCCTTAGCTTTAAAAGGATAAGGCATGCTACAAATCGCCTTAACCCTTTGAACACGGAGCCATTTCGCCATATGGGCGAAATTCGTCTGACCGTGCAGGCAATATTGGACCAAACGTCGGGCGCGTTTAGGCGCTCTTAGTAGCCAAAGGGTTAATTGAATAGCACCAAAGAGATATTTCGTTAATTCGAAGAATAATTATTAAAAAGAATTTCAATGAACCAAGGAAATATTTAGCCCTTTAAACACGGAGCCTTTTCGCCATATGGGCGAAATTCGTCTGACCGTGCAGGCAATATTGGACCAAACGTCGGGCGCCTTTAGGCGCTCTTGGTAGCCAAAGGGTTAAAAACGCCGACTTAACATCTCTTCACCCTCAAGGTGAAGTAAAACCCCCCTCAAATCAATCTACTCGAATAAGCCACTCTTTTTTAAGGGTATTAGATCGAACTGTGTACAACTTTGATACATGACTCGTCAGCACCAAGGACTCATCCTGACACTTTCAAAATTCGGATATTTGATAAAATTTCTTTAACTTAGGCCAAACCAGAACCAAAATGGCGTCCAGCTCTCACATTTCGATCGATATACAATTATTGAAGGCTCTAATATGAGGAACGAAAGGGTCAGGACAAATGTACGACAATTTAGAACACTCTGATAATCAAAAAACTTACATTTGAACGGGATAAAAATAAAAAAAAAGTGTCTTACGCGCTGTTACGCTAAAACGATGGTAATACGAGGTCTCGGAGTGAAAATGTAGTTGACACGTAAATCACAGATGGCGCAGGGGGTCCCTCTGCAGTCAATCAGGGCCTCATAAACCACAAATCCAGGGGATTTCCGGAGTTTCACATAGATTTCATTACAATTATTCAACGCAAACGACAGGTGGAGTATTTAGTCCAATACTCAATACAATCCGACCCAGCAGTGAATATAAAATCGAACGTCGGCAACGTAGGTATTAATAAAAAATCTTTCGTCACCGACGTCGACCAAGTTCCTCGACGTCTTTCCCTTCGCCTTAAATCCGGGATGTCAATGCGAAGATAAAAGCGCAAGGTGACGTCGTACGAACGAAATCGACACACTACCGTCGTTCCAGAAGCAGTGGTGAGAATCGCGTATCACGTTTACCCCGATACCACGCCACTTACGTCGTCATGTGATCACACCGACACCCAAGATCCCATACAATGTAAGCACACCTCGAATACATGACCCGTTGACTCATAAGCCACTGCAACACCGGTCGATTCCACTCACGGCGCCAACCCTGGCGGCTAACTAAGCGATTGCGATCGAGCGGTTGGCCCCACGTACCATGGTGGTAAAAAGACGGGAAAACTTATTCGAAATTCGAGGAGGAATATATCGAAGGAGGAGTATAAAATCGCGTACAAAGCGAGGATTGGGAAGCGTGACGGGACCTACCCCCGCATCGTCCGTAGGGCTTGCAGCCCAACGTGGTACTGTGGGCACTGTGGTGGGTTGACCGAGCTAGGGGCGGCTTGGCTGGCGGTACGTCTGTCCTTGTCGCGAGCGCGCCGGCTCGCCTCGCCCTCTCTCGCTCCCACCCACGGAGCCTCGCGGCGTCCGCTCGTCTGCGGCGCCGCGCGGGTCGATTTCTCCCCGTGAATGCAGGGAGGCATCGCATCGCGCACCCCTGCAGCGACCGCTCCTCCAAGACGAGAGACCCTCACTCGGGACCCGTCCGACCTATCCCAACGAACCCGCCGGGAACCTAGCCACCTCGAGGGGCGTTTACATCGACTGCGGCCCGCTCGGTCCTGGGGAAAGGGGTCAGTCCTGATAACACCAGCCACCTGTGCACCTGCGCACCCGTGGAAAGGGGTCAGTCTGATAACAGCCAGGGGATGAAATCGTTCCGATAGCGCACTCCTCTTCTGGGATACCTCACCTCCCATCCTGCTTTTGAGGAAATCTTGAGAACGCGAGAGCGAGGATGATCCTTCAGAGGGGACGCAGGACTAAGTCCCGAAGGAAGAGGGATCGGGAATTCATTCGATTCATCTACTCTATTACGAGACAACTTTCCCTAGATTTTAGAGCCATTTGTATATATAATAAAGTTCAAGCATTTACTTTTAGCGAATTATCAGGGAATTATTATTAAATTACCTAGGTTCTCTAAGGAATTGAGAGGCCTTGTAATGTTAACCCTCTATGGGCCGAATTTTTCATTAAATAAAAAAAAATTGGGGGAACGAAAAATAAGCAATTAGGAACCTATATATGCAAATGAAAAAAAAATTTTTCATTTAAAATGTGACCTGAAAATTACACGGGCCCATAGAGGGTTAAGGTGATGTGAAACCCCCCTCAAATCAGTCCCGAAGGAAGAGGGATCGGGAATTCATTCGATTTATCGACTCTCTTACGAGACAACTTTCCCTAGATTTTAGAGCCATTTGAATATATAATTAAGGGGATGTGAAAGTGGCATCCGAAATTTCAATCGTTCATGAAACTTTCTTACGAACTGGGTGTCTCAATTCCTTTCATACTTTAAAGCGTGAATATGGAGACCCTAAGGTAGATCCTGAAACTCGGGAAATTTCATTTTTTATAAACTATTTCTAAAATNCTTTAACACGTGATTATGGAGAACCTAAAGAAGAACGCGACGCTCGTGGAATTTCATTTTTCAAAAGAAATCGTGATTTTGGTTCTAGTCTAGGCTGATTAGAAAGACAATGTTGGGTGACAAACTGAAATTTTACGAGCATTGCGTTCTTCCTTACGGCCACCATAATCACGTGTCAACGTTTCAAATGATTCGGCACGGCCAGTGTGGAAAAAAAGGATTGTACGTAATTGACTTTTCAGATTCCACTTTCATATCACCTTAACGGGTGATTACATTTCATCGCTCAATTTGTGGTGGTTATCTAGCACTGGATTTTAATCTTCAGTTAGATTAATTTTTCGAGTTCTCTATGATTGCTATTGTAGCCAAAAACATTTTAGACATAGCGTTAACTATTTAGAAAATGATTTTACTGCCATATCGAGTTCTCTACGATTGCTATTGTATCCAAAAACATTTTAGACATAGCGTTAACTATTTAGAAAATCATTTTACTGCGATATCATGGTTTCTGAGGCCCTAATTGACTGCAGAGGGACCCCTTGCGCCATCTGTGAATTCCGTGTCAACTAAATTTTCACTCGGAGACCCGATATTAGCATAACAGCGCGTAAGACACTTTTCTTGCCTTTTTATCCCGTTCAAACGTGAGTTTCTCGATTACCAGAGTGTTCTAAATAGCCGTGCAATTGTCCTGACACTTTCTTTTCTCACATTAGAGCCTTCAATAATTGGATATCGATCGAAATATATGAGCTTGACATTTTGTTTCTGGTCTGGGCTGTTAAAAATTTCTTTTAGAAAATCCAAGTCAAGGACAGAAAGGAGATATATCAATAATTGGACATCGATCGAAATATAACAGCTTGACATTTTGTTCCTCGTCTGGGCTAAGTTAAACA